AATGCTCTATCAATGGTCCGTTCTCAATGCTTGATAGCAAAAACAAGAAGATTAACAAAAAATGAAGATTTCATTGAAAGTGCTTTCATGCAGGTACGTATGTTTAATATACGTACCTGATTCATAGTAAAATTTTATGAGACTCGGATATTGACCAAAAATTTTTGTAAGTTCACAAAAGGGCCACATTATTCATAAAAATCTAAATGCATGCCAAGAATATGGGGGCCTTGGATATGACTTCCAATTATGATCCTGATGCTTATATCCAAATTTCAAATGGATGCCTAAGAATGAATGTTGGGGTTGCCCAATTTTCCAAAAATTTACAAAGGCCCTCGATTATACAGAACTGGCATAAAAAATTTTACTATTTCATTTTTGGGCATAATTGAGTCAAAATAATCCCTTAATTTTGAAAAGATCTTTAAAAAAAAACGCTTAAACGTTAGTCCTAAAACATAGGCTAAATTTAATGAAAACTTGCTCCAACAAATTATGGCAACATAATTTACATATTAAAAAAAAATTACTTTTATTTTATACTTTGAAAACAAGTGAATAATTCTGAACGTTTTTTTAAATAAAATAAAAAAAAATCAAATTAAATTTTTAAAAATAAATAAATTTTATTTTTGGGGGAAAAATTTAAAAATTTTTAAAAAAATATTAAAACAAAAAGTAAAGAAAATTAAACCCAAAGTAATCATCCCGAAAAAATTTTAAATTTTTCCAAAAAAATTTTTCCCAAGTTAGAGCCAAAAGAGTTTTTTTAGAACCCGTTAAAAAAGGAAATCCCAAAAACCACTTTTAAAATTAAATTTAAAAAAAGAAAAATTGTTTTTTTTTAATTTTTTTAAAAAGAAAAAATTTTAAACATTTTTTCCCCTGCACCCCTTTCTTTTTAAATATCTTCCGGGTAATTCGTCAATTTTAAACCTGTTTGACCCTTTCCGCCCATTTTTCACCCCAAAAAAAACAAATTTAAATAATCTTTGTCGTCGATTTTTTGGGTGGGGCAAAAACCCCCCAAAAAAGAAATTCTAAATTTGGGGTGTTTTCTCTTTATTACAAGCGTATTAATATTATATTTTTTATGTTTTGTGATAATATTTTTTTCATTTTTTTTTCAATCAAATCATCATATCAAACCCCACTTTTTCAATATGTAAAATTTCCAAACCAAAGTATTTGCCCAAAAAAGGGGGTTTTTGCAAAAAATTTGCTGCCCTTTTTTTTTGTATGGTTTATCTCAACAAAAAAAAAAACTCCTTTTTTTAAGCGCAATGCAAAAAAATTTCATTATTTAAATTTTAAAAAAATCCAACGTCACATTTTAAAAAAAATTTTATTACAAAATAAAAAATTTATTTTCTCATTTTCTCGATTTTTTGTTCAAAAACCCATGAATAATTTAACAGATTTTACCATTTGAAAAAAAATTGGCACCATTTCCCAACCCGGGTAAAAATGTACTTTTTTGATACCCAAATTTTCCATTAAACTTTTTTACCTGTCAAACAAGGTTTGAAACGAGAAAAATTTTTCCTGATTACCGGGTTTTTTTGTTGTTTTTCTTTCCTTCAAAAATCCATTCATATACTTTTCTGAAACTATATCTTAAAAGTCTTAAATTTTTAGTGTGGCCTTCATCTTTAAACGCACTCGTCACAAATTGTTTTAAAGTACCATATACATGTACATGACTTGTATTTAAGCCAAGTTATTACAAAATCTGTCATTCATTTGAATGACAAAGATTTTGACTGGACATGACTATCAATGCACTATCATGCACTATCATGTCATGAATTATGACATTGAAGTATGAACTTGACCTTTAGGCTGCATAACTAAATTTTGTTTACTACATGTCGTCTTAATAAGCAGCATATTTATGAATATTTATTTCTAAGCCCATCCATGAATAACAAAGCTACATGTATACAAAAGAAGAACATGCACAATCATGACATTTGACGCAAAAATGTAATCTTGACCTTTTTTGAACTAGAGACCTCAATAGGTCATCATATTGTCTAACAAAAAATTATGCCATGCTATTTTAAAATCCTTCCAGGAATGACAAAATTGTTTGCTACGAACTTTAAAAAATCATATTATATGACTTTAGAACACAAGTGTGCCATTGTCGTTTGAGCTGGAGATCCGATTCTTGCATACGACACGTATAGTCACCATGTACAACACCCTTATGTCAAGTTATTCTAAAATAACCTAGAAATGACAAACATCCGTACACTTTTACGAGAAAAATATCACGAAATTAGAACAGCAAGTTTGACCTTTGCGCTAGGAACCTGATTCATGCGCGCGACACATTGTCATTATGTCTTACATATTCATGCATACAAACGAAACACCTCGTACCAGTGTACTTCATATTATTTGCAATTATTTTAAAATTCATCCATAAATAACAAAGTTATGGACGGACACAAATAGAAAAATCACAATCAAGTCCACGCCCCAAAGCAACGGCTTTTAGCAGAACAAAGTTGGGTATATGTACTTAACTCACAACAAAATGTTAGAATGTATAGATTCATATAGCCCAATACAATTTATAGAAACAATGCTTTTTTGAGGGAAAGTTGTTGAGTGCATCATGCAGTACTGTACGTGTAGATGGCTAGCGCTACAAAATATGCATGTTACTACAGTTGGCGTCGCGTAAGAAGCGGCTAGAGCGGGGATCGCTTCAAAGAAACGACACGACCGCCAAGTTCCGGAAGCATTAGACGTCAATTAGCAACAAAGAAACCGCGTCCCAACGACATACAATGTATCATCATCCCCAATCAAAATTGTGGCATTGGCGAAAGTCTGTTAGCCGCTTACATTGAAGAGACATCAACTTCAAATTCCTTCGGAGATTCGGGCTCTTTGCCAGACAAAAAGGCCCCTGACATATCGACAACCAATCAAATTTCAGATGAACAATACTTATGTGAATAAGAAAAAAAAAAAAAAAAAAAAAAAATCAAAATATAATCGAAGCACAAATGAACCAAGTCTTTTAAAATGACACGCGTGCAGGATACATTGTGCCCATTAGCCAAAGTCAGGGATATGATTGGTGCTCGTGAGTATTGCCAGTGAAAACGCCATTTGGTTCATATACTGAAGAGCGACTGTTTTGTCCTGATATTTGTAGGGAAATTAATTGATACACGTCGTTTTCATCAGCGTCAACATCAGCGTCAAAAGGGAACAACAGTAGACTCTGTTCTTCTCCATCCAATGGCTTCTCCATCTTTGTTGAGAAACACTAAACATCAGATGTCAATTGTTAGCGCACAATTATTCAATTTTGGGTCCAAAACATTTTGATCTTTTTTAAATAACATTGCATAAAAGTTTTTCTATTTTGGTCTCAAAACATGCATGGCTGATGAAATGTCAGGGTCCGTGCCTACTAAGTTCTGAAAAGAGCGGAAGCCACTTGTAAAAAAGTATATTCATTGAAACACCTTTTGTTTTATGTTTTTAAGTTTATATAACCAGTTTTTATTCTTTCCCTCGATGTATTTAATGATGTTTTTTTTTTCTTCTCAATATGTACTTATAAATACAAACATATTGAAAGTCACTTCAGTTCATTATGGATGCATTATAGGAAAACAGTGAATCTAGTTTTCGGAGGAGCGTATATTTTTCGTTTTGTGAGGTACTAGTATATGGAATGGGTCATGTGTAGTAACTGTAATGCCTGTAGCCTTGGTTAATTAAGGAGTGTAGGACAAAAGCCCTCCCGGACAAAAGCCCTCCCGTCCAAAAATGGCTTTTGTCCGCCCACTGATTTTCACGGGAGGGCTTTTGCCGCCCTGTCTTTTTCACGGAGGGCTTTTGTCCGCCTTGTCATTTTTTTTACGGGACGGCTTTTGTCCGGGAGATCTTTTGTTCGTTTCTCTTAATTAAGATATACATGGCTGGCACATTTACATTTTTGGTATTAGTGTTTGTATTTTATACTATAATGCATCTTATTTTTTGCGTTTTTATATAATCGTGTTTAGCAAACTGAAAATAATGATTATACTTAATATAAAATATTGTTTCTTGCGTAGATATCAGCAGATGTTACACAAAGCATATTATAATGTATTTATTATCTAAATAGTGGACCTTTTAATACTATGCTTCTATACATTGTACAATGAATGACTTTACGTCATGCCAATGACCTTTGTTTTTAAACATGATACAAAGAGATTTCTCCTTTCGTTTTTTTAAAGAGACCAAATAAACGATTGCTCTTTTTGCGGCTTAAAGATCGATCAGCACGACATTATTGTTGTGCTTGTGGTAATTTAGTTCTTTCTATTCGGCTATTTTCTTGTTGGGTGGTTCCAGTATTCCTTACTTGAATACTGTTGAATCACCATTAGGATATGTGACCTGCTTTTTAAATTTGTCTTTGACGTCTTATCTGTGATATGCAGGCTTCATAACCTCTGATCCCCTTTCAAAATTCCATTTTATTTAGTTCCGCCCATTGTTTTCTCGTTTAGGGCAAACAATGGAATGGCACTTACGTGTCACATTGAAGGTTCCATGATAACCGCCAAATGAACACATCTGCGGATGTTTCAAAATTCAAAATTGTACCAATTCATGTTAAATGTTGAATTCTGCTTAAGCCGGTGCTAGGGGGCGTGGACTGTAGTTTGCACTTGACAGTACCGTCCATGAACATGCTCAATTAAACCGAGCCTGCAACATTTTCATTTTTGTCGTGTTGGGCTTTCTTTAGGGATTCTTATTTTCTCTATTTCATCGTCAATCTTTAAGGAGCTTTCTTGGCTATCCGGTTCAGTATTTGTACGGTTTCGAACTTCCGCCTCTCCCCATGGACATTTAAGTTTACAAAATATAAGGTATCCACCTTTAATTCAGTTATTTAATGTACAATATATATTTTTCTATTACCCGAGAATAAATATTGTTTGAATCCCTGAATGAACAAATGAGGCACATTAAAATGATTTATTTGATTTTGTTTTATTTCGTACTTTAAATAAAATATATCACATTTTGTTGGCATATGTAACACAAGACTCAAAAACAATAACGCCCGACCCTTCCCATTTCCGACCACTCGAAATAAAATCTGGACGAACAAAACGTCAAAACAGTGAACAATAAAACAATATTTTAAAAGTGATAATTAGTTGGTCATTCCTGCTACCAACACTGAAAGGTCAGTAAAGCATATATTGAAGTTTGTGAGCAGCATCTTTGCGTTGAAGTCTTTGAATGCTACAGTGATGATAAAGACACGCACCTGCTATCAGAATATAGCGAGGCGTGCACGCACCTGCTAACAGAATATAGCGAGTCCTACACGCACCTGCTATCAGAATATAGCGAGGCGTGCACGCACCTGCTAACAGAATATAGTGAGGCGTGCACGCACCTGCTGTCAGAATATAGCGAGTCCTACACGCACCTGCTAACATAATATAGCGAGGCGTGCACGCACCTGCAAACAGAATATAGCGAGGCCAGCACGCACTTTATATAATAAATGTATATAATTATAGCCTATGTCGTCATCTACGCACTTTTGTGCTTTGAACTTAGAGTCCCTGAAATAATTACAATTCCAAGTTGGAAGCAGGATGGATAACACAAGTTCAAAAAGGAAATATAGACACAGGAACTTGATGATACTGATGATGATGATGCTTTATCTTTCCTAGCTACTCCACCAATCCAATTGCTTCCATCACAACTGAAACAAAAAAGAAAAAAATGACAATTACAAGCTTGACCAGAATAATTATTAACCGGAATGTTAGTAAAAGAATATTCTGCCGGTTTGAATTTTTCATTTGTCGAAATGCATTAAAAGTAAAATGATTCTACCATTCGGTGGTCTTTTAAAAAAAGGATTGAATATTTGGTACTTTTATTCTACCATTTCTAGAACACATTTGCTCTGTATCATGTCAGAGCAGTGATAGAAATAAAATAAAATTATTTTTAGAATGTGTACAATAAATTTTATCATGTCAGAGCAGTGATAGAAATAAAATAAAAATATTTTTAGAATGTGTACAATAAATGTGAATACTCGCTCGGTTGACTTAGATTTCAACATTAATTTTACTGATATTTAATGGGTTGCCACAGTTTTGGGTAATCTCACATGCTATTTTTTATATGAAAATAAGCATAAAGATTGTGACGGACCACGATCCTGATTTTGAAAAATGAAAGGTAAGGAGTGAGATCATACATGAGGCTTGTTAAAATAAAACGCAGTCAGTGTAAAATAAACTAAATTCTCAATAAGCCAAGTTTATATCACAGACCAGTCTAAATACTTCAAATGCATTTTTATTGGTCACCAAGACTATTTAAAGTATTTACCGCATCGTCCGTGTATTTCCATGTTTTATATTGTATGGACGTTGATGTTGAAGTCCCTTTTCTAAACCATTTCCTGAAAATGAAATCAAAACATGTTAATGTTATAACAAGTTATAAACTATTATAATTTACTGAACATGACATGTCATTTTGTTTGTTGGAAAAGTGAGAGAAACACAAATGCTGGTGTTTTAGTTTAACTCGACGAACATTGAATTCTTTATTTTTAAGACTAAAACAATAAATACTTTTTTTTACTTCTGATGATCGTCACCACGAACGTAAAATAGTTTACCAATAAGCATTGAGATAAAACATTCTATGCACACATCAATTATGTGTAACATATAAATGGATAGAGACTATATATATATGATTCTTTATTTCATGATTATTTAACAAACTCTCAAAAACAATTTACTACATTGCAATTTCTTGCTATTATTTCCATTTTATGTTTAGAAAATCATAGATTTGTAACTTCTCGGTACCCCGATTATCTTATATTTTTGTAAAAGAAATTAGTCATCATATAAGAATGTGAGCACGTGTCTCTTAAGAAAAAAGATATGACCATATATCATCACATTGAAACTTAAATTTACTTACACTAAAGCGTTTTGATTGTTTGTCTTTGACAATAAATGCTCAATATATTAAAAAGTGACCTGAAACTTAATCCTTTTTCATAGAAGCGAAATAAAGAGAACTATCGCTTGTTTTTCAAAGCTTAAATCATCAAAATATGTTAAAAGATAGCGTGGCTATTTCTACTTTAAAAATCAGCATTATATTACATACCAATAATGACATTGGATTCTCATCTTATATAACACAAAAATTACAAAGCTAAAATCTATCATTTACTTTTCATACATATTGTATATGAAATTGATAAATTGAAACGTAAATAGAAAATAACCATTTTATGCTAATAATAACTGATAACAATTATGTTTGTAAATATGTTCGCGAGGTTACTGAACCAAACCACTATGCTCATGAATGATCGTTTTAGTCTAATCTACAACTACAACTACAAATATTTTATTGATAAATACAATTTTCAAAACAAATCGGTGACTGTAAATGATTGATGTATGAATTATTTAGATCATACATATTTGCATTTAAAGTGATAACAACAAACAGCTTTGGATATCGACAGCAGACGACAAAATCTTATCCGTGTATTAACCCAAATTTAATTTTAACAACGTCATATATTTGTTTTAGCATTTACAATTAATCGATTTGTTCATTTTTCGCTGACTTGTCGTAATTTTGATTTTACACTATCAATTATAAATGTATTGAAAGTAGAACATGTTCATATTTAGATAGCTATTTTTATTCCAAAAATACGGTAAATTCAATAAATATGCAAACGAACTTCTCAGATATCTATATAAAGTATGACCAGACAGATCGGATTTGTTTAGGGCTAGCTGCTTCATTATTACAGCGCGAGAGTAATGCTTCCGGAAAAATTCAAATTTGTGGCAAGCTGTTGCAGGTAATTGTACGTCGTACAAAAACAAAAATAACATATCATGAGCATGATACGTTGATGACATGACTCTTTATCAGACTCCTCCGGTCTTATTTACAAAATATAATCACATTTCTTCCTTAAACGTCCTGTAACTCAAGTTTTTTTTATGGCTTTATATCATTAATATAATGCTCAAATGAAGATTTATCACTGTTGTAAGTTCCAACAAGGTTAGCTTTTAAAAAAGCTAGTAGCGACTCGCTTCGTAATTTCATTCTAGGGGTGTGTTTAAATGTAAAAATGACAGTTCTGCAACTGAAGAGACTTCAGCGAACATCAAAATAAAAGTGACATATAAAGTTACGGAAGCCAGTTCTCTCAGTTTAACAAAGGGAAATATGAGTATATATGAAGATGCATGTAAACAGATGGAATGAAGTCCCTATGTCTATGCACATTTACTGTATGGCCTGTTGACCTTGACCAAAAAATGTTAGATAGGTAGAATTCATAAAGATGTCTCTTTATACAAAGTTATGTTGTAATATATTATTTAGTATTGGAATGAGTGACAGACACAAGTTCTATACAGGAATATATTACTGAAGAACTCTCTTGGTGTGGGCGAATTTAGATTCATGGGGCATGATTATTTGATTTGTACAAGTTCTCAAGTCTCGTAAATCCCGGTCAAAATAGACCGGGAGAGACCGGAAGCGACCGGACCGGAGAATAGTATATCCCAATAAATACATACACAAAATACCGGAAAGGATAAAATTACCGGAAAAAAAGAAAAAGAAAATATGCACAGAACCAGATGTACACTTATGTTAATTAACCAATTAATTGTTAATTATTTAACTTACTACAGATAAAATAGTTGAAATCGCTAAATCAAAAGTCAGTGTAAATATGATTTATTGAAAGGAATTCATGAAAACAAATATTTTATCATCATAATTATCTTTGCGCTCAAAGCAATACTTGTTCCTTTTTAAAAATGGCGTGAAAATTGAAGGTTTTTTGACGCTATGTAAGATCAAATTTGATTGGCTTAATTATTTTGGATTCCAGCCCAGACAGATAAATTTTGTAGAAAGCTGGAAGCCAAGCTTAGATTAATTTTTTGGATGGATTCGGAGTTTTAGGTTGTTTCTAAGTAAAATCCTAACGTAATACCGGCTCGCCGTGGCGAGCCGGCAAAAGCATTTTTTTGTAAAGATATTACCGAATTTACATTTCATGTTAATAAAGGGAGGTAATTAGAAATTTATTTTCTATAAAGTCCAAGTCAAATTTTTCAATAAAAAATGAATGCATATATTTGCAGTACATATTTTACATATTCTTTGATGTTTGAAAATTGTTTTAGAAGCATAATTATATACAGTACATATATAAAATTTCACTTAGGTGTGGTAACAACCTTAATTACCACATACAGGATCTATATCATATGATTAAAAAGAAGCAAAATACGTTTATGTTATCTTAAAGCGGTACAGCGATCAATATTTTGATAATGCGTCTCTGATTTATATATGTAAATTATCATTTAACCAATCACTTCTAGTTAACTATCTAAATGCGTTTGAATAATCGGTTATTTTCATCTTTTGGACCAACATTTACTATTAATTTAAGAAAGAGACATATTTAAGAAATACTTCAATATACATTGTAAACAATAAATATATAAATGTTTCTTACCTCTTTCTCGCCCAGAGTACACCAAAAATGACTGCTAGTATCAAGATTGTGACGAAAATTCCAATGGCAGCCTTCCCTCCGGCAGATGGACCGGATTTCTTCGTCTTAGCATGATGACTTCCTGCCGTTGTTGTAGAAGAGCTCGGTGATGGTGTTGTCGCACTTGACGAAGGCGTAACTGTTGAGCTTGAAGTTGGTTTGATTGAATCAGAAATAGATGAAGACATTGAAGACGTGCTTGAAGATGATGAACTTGTGCTGGACTCGGTTGATGATGATATTAGATGGCTCTTTCGAGAGGTAGATTTTGATGAAGTTGGTTTAATGACTTCCGTTGAAGACGGCTGTAATATACTCGAAGTTGTTAAAAATGTTGTTTCCGACATAGTGGAAGATAATTGTGAGACAGATGTTACCAATACTGAGCTGGTTGATACTGGTAAAACAGTTACTGATGAAGATACAGCCACTTCGGAAGTTTGTGTAGTATTCATTAAGTTAGAAGTTTGAGACTGAGGTACAGAGCTATTTGTAGATATTTGCGTTGTTATTGGTGATGTACTTATCAGTGATGAAGATGAAGAAAGTGCAGGCGTTTGAGTAGAGCTACTTTTTAAATTACCAGTCTGCGATGCAGCGCTTGTTGCGGAGGAATTTGCCATTACTGACGAGCTCGAATTAACTAATACAGAAGTAGATGCCGATAGAGCAGAAGAAGGCTGAATTGATAAATTTGAAAGCATAACTGACGTTGTGTCTAATATTGGAGATGTCGTAAATCTGGCCAGGGTAGACGTATAAGAGTTTCCTGTATTAGCCACTGCAGTTGATGCTATGACATTTGTTGAAGATGAAAGCTTTAGTGTAGAACTTGCAGATATCATCACAGTTGTTGAAGTTGTTGACGGTCCCAATAGGGAAGCTGTTGCATCTGAAGATGATGTTTCATTGTTGCCATCTCCAGGGGCGATTAAACCTGGATCAGATTGGTTAAGTCGTTAAATTTGTGCTATTTATCATTACATTATAATAACGCAAGAATCATCCTGACATTTTAGACAATTATTAATGCAATTTTAAATGCATGTAAAAAGAATTGCTTTGATATATAATTTTTCATGCTACAGTACACTCAAATAGAATATATTGATTGTTAAATTTCATATTTTAAATGCGGAAGATATTATAACTTAATTTTTGATGATATGAGAAGTTTTAAATTAGAATTAGAAGTTTTTTAAATTAGAAAATACACATACAATCATTGCCAACATACACCATCTTTACACCCCTACCAGTATAAGTATATCTAAATTCACAAATACAGAGGAAAACAAATGCAACAGTACCACTGACGTAAGCCATATTACAAGATGAAATATAATACACATCATGGTCATTTCATTCTACCAAACAATATCTAAGTGCCTAAATACGTGTACCCGGATGCAGTTTTAATTCGTTTTAGAATCCATTTAATTGGCCCGCTTGCTGTTTTAAGCTGAATTGTTATTTCGCAATAGAATAATTATTCAACCTTCAAACACAACATTAATATCATGCTATATTGGCACAGAACGTTTTTTATGAATACAAACGGACGAAAGCTTTGTGTAATACAAATACGCTTTAAGAATATATTAGCCATATTTATCCCAAAACTGGTTCATTTGCGGGTCTTATGTAGAAATTATTGACCTCGATCTAATTAAAAGCTTTGGCGTGTTTGACTTAAATATTTTATTATCTATTATCACGAAATTAAACAAACATGTACAAGTTATAGAATTATTCTACATCTTGAGATCTATAAAAACTCTGTAGATAATAGATTGATTCATGTAACTTGATTTATAAGGTTAAGTAGCATATTAAAAAGTCACTAATATAATTGTCAATTCAAGGTAGACTTTGAGAGAAGCTTTCTCTAATGAATGTTGAAATGCTATATCAGATGTTAAAAATAATTCGGGAAAACTCGATGGCGTATTAAATTAGACGTGCGCAAAAAATCTCGTGTAAAATCGAATGAACATGCATGTGGACATGCGCAGCATTATTAAAATGCTACTTTATATAAAAAAAAATAACCTTTTAACCACACTGTATTTCAATCTGTTTAAAGTCATCACATTTGAATTAAGGTGAAATGTAATTTTATAAATGTTCTTTAAGTTGCTTATATGAGATTATAGAAATATATCATTAAACTATTTAGATTTTTCCCTCGGTCTTACAGATATTATACTCATGACCATTTATGCATAAATTATAGTATTTTATGTGAAGGTAGGTAAGTGATCGATAGATCAATTTCATAATAGTCAGGTTTCATCTATGACTAAACTGACTCATCATAATGGTAGTTGTAAATCAATAATGAGCCGAGTCACGACAAAACCAACATAGTGGGTTTGCGACCAGCATGGATCCAGACCAGCCTGCGCATCCGCGCAGTCTGATCAGGATCCATGGTGTTCGCTATCAGTTACTCTACTTGTAATAGAGTTGGTAAGCGAACAGCATGGATCCTGATCAGACTGCGCGGATGCGCAGGCTGGTCTGGATCCATGCTGGTCGCTAACGTACTATGTTGGTTTTGTCGTGACGCGGCTCATTTATAAAATAGCAAGTTTACGTTAAAGATCCTGTATGTTGTAATTATGGTTGTAATAACTTTTAATAGAAGTTTTATATAAATATTTGTATATAATCATTCTTTTAAACCAATTTCCAAAAATCCAAGAATGAGTTAAATATGTACAGCAAATGTTAATTACACATAATTTAACATTGTAGTTAATTAATTCAGTTTTTATTGTAAAAATTGGCTTAGACTGTATTGATTTTTTTTCTAATTACCTCCCTTTATTTAAATAATGTTTTTTGAAACTTATAATATTGATATATCTTCTTTTGAGCAACAGATTGATAATACCCAACCATAAAAAGTTTGTGTTACAGGATCTTCAAGTAATATCAAACCTTTCAATATAGTATTTTCTTATTATATCAGTATTTTCTAATTATATCATACATTTCGATATAGTTTTTTTAATTAAATCAAATGTTTCGATCATTTCCATATTGTATATTCTAATTAAATAAAAACATTTAGATCGTTTCGATATAGTATTTTGTAATTACATCATACATTTCTTTTTAGTGTTTTCTAATTATATCAAACATTTCAATCATTTCGAATTACATCATCCATTTCGATATATGTAAGAAAGGATAACATTTTCTTGTCACACACTAGTTTGCACAAAGGGCAAATAAAGCAGGAATGTAAGCTTCTTTTCAGTTTTATTTTCAAAATGAGATAATATTTACACGCATTACAAAGAAACAAATGTGAAAGGATTGGTCTGTGGTTTTCACACCGGATTTTAATGTTTCTTAAAGATTTTATGATCAATTTGCTTTTATGTCAACATTCATGATTGTGTTTGTCATAAAATGTTTTATGGTTTATTTGTATATGTATACATGTATAAAAATAAATGACTGACTGTCAGCATGGTTTAACATACATAGTTTACATTTTTGTTAAAGAAGATCATTAAAACGTTTATGTAGAAATGTTAGGTTAGAAGTGGAACACGACAAGGTGATATATACATTCAAGAGTCATTTATTAAGTTGAATCTTCAGAAGGTTGCCAATCATACGTAGTTAATGAATTTTATATATCAAATAATGTCATTTTCTTTCTTTTCTTCAAAAAAAAAAAAATGGCGTGTAATCTGTGTATATATGTATGTTATTTGTTAAATTTAAAAGGGGGTGTGGTTTAAAGTTTTACAATTATATATTATCACGAATATTTATTCAAATATTTTAACACAATTTTTTTATGTTGGTAAATCAATTCATAACTACTATAATGTCATTATGGCCTCAAAAATGGATCAATTTCGCTTAGTTTTCGAAGTTGGTTAATATTCGTTTTATTAAAGAAAATCTGCCTTTAATTAAAGTCATCTTAAACAAAACAGATAATTCATTAACTCGGACGGTACCCGCTAGATTCTCTGTTGAAAAAAGAGAAATCCTTAAAATATTGAACACATATTCAGCACTTAAGATGATCTACAATATAAATTTAGGTACAAGTATCAATATATTTTTACCTGTCAACAGCAATATCACAAGATAAACCATAAAACTTTGAGCTAAATAACGAGTCATGGTCACACAAAGATTCACATATCATTTAAACCATACATCCATAAAATACCCACGTGTCCGCTTTTCTTTACCGAATGTGTTTAACTAAATAAAGGAATGACATATTTGCTGTTTCGCAATAAATTATTCAACCATGTAGACACAACATTTCAACCATGTATAAAATGTTACGAATTATATTAGCCCATAACGATCATTTATAATTGTGGACAAAAGTAATGTATACAGCAAATATGTTTATAAAGAATATATTTGTTTAAAGTGATTCATTTACGAGTGGTATTTACAAATAATTCAATTGCTTTGGCGTGTTTGACAGTAAAAGATGTTGTTTAGTAAATCAAGCGCAACATTTAAACCATGTAAAAGGTAACTATATTAGACCATAACGAACACTTGTACTAGACTAGACAAAAGATTTGTGCGTATTACAAAAAGCAAACAGGGCTCAAGCACAAAATCGATTGGTTTACGCGTTGTACAAAAATTAAGTATTGACCTTGATACAATTTGGCGCTTTCAACAAAAACGTTTTATTTATTTGTACACATATAGTTATATATAAGGGTAGATATCGGATCGATGGGTGCGTAGTTCGACTGTTTATGAAAACGTTTCAAGCGGAAAGCAACTTTAAATGAAATCAATATATAAATCAAAGCACAGATGGCGCTGAATTTGTTTGGGTCTCAGAATGCCACCAATGCTTTCCAGCGTTTTAATTGTAGTAAATTGGCTATAAGACTAATTGCAACACTGATATTCAATCCAATGTTTACTAGTTTTTGACTTAAACAATTTGAAAAAAAAAGAGTTGTCTTAACTGGATTTGAACTCCAGACCTCTCGCTTCCTAAGCGAGCGCGCAAACCCCTCGGCCACAATGAATTTATATGTTAATGGCCTGAAGAAAAGAATATTATTCTAAATTAGGGTTTGTAACGACGATAACTGTTGTTTAACACTTGTGTAAATAATCATGGCGCTTAATATAAGCATGTATATCTATAAATAATAAAACAATATTAATCTTCGACCATTCGGGAATTATTTTGCTTGAAAATTAATGCGCCTGTCATGTGACCATATTTACGCAGTGACCTCCCCTGAATTTTTCGGCCTTTGTGTTACATATAAAGGGAAGTAACCGCTTCAAAAAAGCGGACTACTTTCGGCATTTGCAATTAACAGCATTAGAGTCTGAAATTTCGCTACCATTATTTGTTTGGTCTGACGACCCAAACAAATAAAAATGAATTTAAATTCGGTTAATACTAAAGTGGACTACATATGAAAAGATGTCTTATTTCAAAATAGAGGAAAACGGAATCGCTAAAATAAAGAAGCCTTAAATTGAAATGTTGCAGACTCGGTTTGATTGACCTTGTTCATAGACGGTACTAGAAAGTGCAAGTTACCGTTCACGCCCCCCCCCCCCAGCACCGGCTTAAGCAGAATCCAACATTTAAACACGAAAATGATGAAATTTTGAATTTAGAAACATCCGCAGATGTGTTCATACGGCGGTTATGATGAAACCTTTAATGTAACACGTTAGTGCCATTCAAGACACTCGCATACCTTTTATACTTATTCATTGCAAATAATTAAGAGAATTCGCTTTATACATTTATATGGCAAGGAATATATTACTATAGTTAAATCGGACACAATTCTTTAATGAAAATTATGTAAATGCTTGTTGATGTTTTTTTATTACTTTTCTATTTTATGTCATTAATGTGATGGAGCCAAATTTATGGATGTTTAATTTGTCAGAACTGAAACAGGCCATTAGGATCCGTGTAACAATCTCATGGCATTGAAATGTCTCTATTTAAAATTTGTCGAATACATTTATAAGGAGACGCTCTTTAATGCATGATTCATTCATTTGTATTTGTGTTTAATAAAAACCTTTATTTGATACCGTGCTCGTATCATCGTATGTTATATAAAATAATGACAAGCTCATAAGAATATACATATGTTAAGAAATTGTCCACTTTTTCCCCTCTAACCTTTATAAGATTTACATAACTGACAATATTTATAATATATGTATGTATTTATTATGCTATTATGTGAATTATAAGTGATCGATACATCAGTAATTATAATATTCAGTAGCTATGTCTAGCCTAGTCTCATTATAGTTTATAAATTATATATTACAAGTCAAAATTTTCTGTAACTCACATAACAAGCAAAATATAGAAGTTTTATATATATTTTAATTTTTAACATTTATCAGAATAGCCAAACGACAATGTTTTTCATATTTATCAATTTACACAGAACTGCACAAAAGTTGTACAAAAGGCATATACATGAGCAGAAAAAAACATTTTGCCCCTCTCTTTCTTTTATATAAGCATATAATGTAGAAAATCAAGCCGTGTACAATATTGAATCAAAACATGAAATCACAAATATATTGTAATGACATTTCTTTGACATATACATGTAATCAAAATAACAATTGGAAAGAGAATACAAGACGAACAATATTCAAAATAACAACAATTAATCATACTTTCCTGTACAAATGTAAACTGTTTTCAAGACAAACAAAACTATACATTACACATCAAATTGGATTTCAAACTCATTATTCTATCAATAATAAAGATGCTAATATAAAGAACACGAAACGATATAAAATATTTTGACAACAACGTGGTTATCTCTACAGACCAAATTTCAAATAATTTATACAATTTTTTTTCAGTATTTGCAATAATATTTTGTGTTCTTGTGTGTTGTGTTCTCTCAGTGTGTTCTCTCATATCTGTCTTCCTAAACTGTATGTTGAATAAACAATGTTTCAGTTTCGTTTTAAGTGAGCAATCAGTTAAATTCTCGACAAAAGTTTACTTTAGTTTCACGTAAAACATGGACATGTTTTACCAATCACAACGGTCGTTTAGCATGCTATTTCGGCACAGGTTTTCTTCCCTTCTGCTTCCAATGACAGATATTATGCTAAAATACATAAAATAGTCCTTTGGAAAGAACCATTTTGATATTAACTTTTGCATGGTCTCCCTTTATATGCATACATTTTTGTAATTAAACGTAATTAACTATGTGTTCTTAGTCAGATAAATAAGATAAAATTATAAGAAGGGAACTTTAAAATTTGCAAGGTAGGCAAAAATAAAAATGTTGCATATTGATTAAGCTTATACATCGTTGACATTACCGTTCATGCCCCCCCCCCCCCAGCACCGACTTTTAAAGCATAATTCAAAATTAAGAATGGTGATCAAATTAGTCCCGTTTGCAACCATATCGATTAAACCCTCAGTTCATACCAAGTTTGTATCAAATTTGAATGACTATAAAGTAGTGATGCCATTAAACAAACATAAAACATTATCTATAATACAATTTTTATATCATATATATACAACAATATGGTGGTTACTTAAATTGTATTTGTAAATAAACCGCCCAGTCACATACACAATGCCTCTCACTCAAAAGGAAACCACTCGATATTCAATAAAAATGAAAAATAATCATTTTATTACAAGCGTCTTGCATTAATAATCAGTCTCTTTTTCAATCATTTTGTCCAATCGTCTATTATATGACACATAACAGAATGATAAGTAACATCACTCAATCATATCGCGCAACTTTCAATCACGATAAACGCCTCTCAATCACACAAATAGTAAACTCTGTGCTGCGGAATATAGACAAGTATAATTTGCACTTAAAAAGCACTTTGAAAATAAAATGCTTCATGCCTGTTTCATTTTGAATTGAGGCAAGCATTTAGCATTCACGTAAATCACATATTGTGCCATACGGTGTCATGTTTTAGTGTCATAGGTTGTCATGATTTAGTGTCATACGGTGTCATGATTTAGTGTCATATTTACAGTGTCCAGTGTTTCAACGTGTCCTCCTTTTAAATGGCAAACTTTCATCGTTGAATATTAACAGACTGAAAAGATAAATGGATTACATTTAGAGAAATTTGAAACCGACCAGTAAAATATTATCATAATATAATATCGCTGTTTAATTCGTCATTTTATCAAGCATTTATTTTTTAAAGAAAACTTTTGATGCTCAATAAAAGCAATGAATGACAAAATTTCAAAACATATTCATGAATGAGATCTGAAAATTAAACCATACCGTGTTTTCCCAAATATATATTGAAATATAATGATGTTAAATGTCTAGAATTAAAAGTTTGATTTGATTACGAATCACCATCGTGCTGATAATTATAACGTCACGTGTTTGCTTTAAAGCAAGTCCTGCAATAACTATCAGGGTTTTTAATAGTTTGTTTTCATAATTAAAGGCAGATTAAAGACACGTTATGTCTCAGAAATCCATATTTTATTCATTCTTTAGAAATGAAAAACATATGTTTAATAATGATTTAATAATGGATTTAAAGCATGTAACATGTTTAGCAACTTAAGAAAGTAGAACTGAACATGAAGTAATGTGGTAGTATTTTGACTTCCTTTCAAACAAAATACTTATTCACTATATGAGGATATATAAGGAGAAAAATCACAAAGATTTCTCTTAGTCGCGCCTTTTGTTTGTTTTTTACTATTATTATAACACGACCATCACCATTATTATATCATATCGTTATAATTACCACTACAATAAATTATTATTGGCAATTTTATATGATAATTATTATAATAATTAAGCCGTGCCATGACAAAACCAACATAGTGGGTTTGCGACCAGCATGGATCCAAACCAGCCTGCGCTTTCGCGCAGTCTGATCAGGATCCATGCTGTTCGCTATCAGTTTCTCTATTTGTAATAGGGTTTGTAAGCGAACAGCATGGATCCTGATCAGACTGCGCGGATGCGCAGGCTGGTCTGGATCCATGCTGGTCGCAAACCCATTATGTTGGTTTTGTCATGACGCGGCTCATATGTATATTTCATTTTCGTATCACAACGTTACAAACACGGTTGATATCTGTACAATCTTCACCAAATTAACATTTTTAACGTTTCATTTTACACCAACAAAACACTATATCTTATACCCGCATCAGATAAAAGAGATTTCCTTTTATGTAACTGAAATTTGATTGGAGGATGAATGATAAATTGTTCAATCAGTATTCAGAAGTTACACACAATTTTAACTTCCTGATATAAACGTAAACTCCATCCTACAACACAATTTCATTACAATTTGTGTAAGAAATATATGTACAATGAAATGTTATTAAGCAGTCATGACACAAACATAGAATCAGATCAGTCCGTACACGTACAGTCTGGTCATACTCTAAAATGTTGACCACTCAGATTTAGTACATGAATGTGATATTGAAATCTTTCAAAGCAAAAAGACACTGTTCAAAATTATGCAAAGGTATAAAACTCACCGCTTCGTCTGTATATTTCCAGGGTTTGTACTGTATAGAAGATGTAATAGAGGTTCCGCCTCTAAACCATTTCCTGCAAACAGAAATAAATATGTAAATCTGCATTTTTTATTCTGTGAATTATCAACAAAATGTTATGGAATATCAAAAGCAAACAACATTAGCTGTAATTAAAGAATTGCCACCTTTCTGCAGTGCAAAACAAGTATGAAAGAAATGCTAAAACTTCGGCCTAGAATAAACACTGACCGACTTTCTCTGAATCAAACTCCTCACAGTGTTAACCTCCATTGGCAGATTGTAATTTCTATACTGTTCGGGGGGAGGGGGGTCACTGCGTAGGAGATTGCTTCTGAAAGAAGACCGCACAGACAAAATGATAATCGCTTTTCAGCCTAAAACAAATGTATGGCAATAAAATCATTAATAATTTGCTACCTTTTTCTCATCCAAAGTAATCCAATTATTACTGCAATAATTAACACTGTAACAAAAATTCCAATAGCTGCTTTTCCTCCACTGGAAAGACCCGATTTTTTACTTTTGGAAGGACGGTTTTCTGGTGCCGTGGTCGATGTTGGTACTATAGAACTTGATGATGGAGAAACTGTTGAAGTGCTTGAAGGTTTTATAGAAGAAAAAGATGAACTTGTTGGATTCTCTGAAGTCACTATTGTACTTAACACAAAACTAGTCGGAGAAGGATGTGAGGTGACTGAAGAGGTTGAAGGTACTATTAAACTATCCGTTGAAGGTGCTATTAAACTATCCGTTGAAGGCACATTTGGTTGTGTTGAAAGAGAAACTGTTACCGATATATCTAAAGTAGATGAAAATGTTTGTGAAGTAATGATTATAGAAGAATTTGTGAAGATATGTGTTTGTGATACGCTGGTAGAATTAGTTGTCACGTTTATGGTAGAACTTAGGACGACTGAAGGAGAAGTAAACGTTTGACTTGGTTTCAGACTATTCGTTTTAGTAGATTTTGAATCTGAAACTAATGTTGATAGAGTGTTCGTTGCTGAAAACGAAGTGGAAAGAGAAGAATTAACAACTTCTACTGGTGATGAACTATCATTATTTCCACTAAATGTCGGTAAAATTGATGTGGAAACTCTCGTTGGATTGATGGATAATGTAGATGTTTGTGTTAACGAAGAAGCTATTTCTGTCACTGGTGTTGATGAGATTGAAGGCGTAGTTTCACTCGACACAAAAGCAATTTGCGCTAAAACAGAAAAAAAGATTATGAAATAAGAAAATACCCTGTTATAACGTGATGAGGAAATAAAACAAAACATGTTGATGATAACTGATAGATATGGTTAAGTATCTTAGGTTTGCCGTATCTGACAGGATACAAGTTACCTTACTAACAAACTAACCAAATAGAGAAAAAAACGGAATCCCCAAAAATCGCCCAAAACGACAAAATTTGAAATGTTGCAGGCTCGCTCAGTTTGATTGGGCCTGTCCAAAAATTTAGCTGAAATTAAAAACATCTCAAATATAACCACAATTATACAGATTCAAAAATTTGATGTAATTTATGATACGATTCAAGTTATAGTTTGACATAATATAAAAACTGTAAGATTTACACATTTAATTCTGAAAGTCAAAATAGGGATCAAATCTGCCCATAAGTAACAATATGTTATGGTAATTTGAGCAAAATTAAAAAAACTTGACCATGACGGTCAAGTCATTTTAAGGTCGAGGTCAAACTTGGACAACTTGGCTTTGTAAAAGGTGTTGAAAGTTGTTGTGTCAAATTATGAAAGCAAAGCCCTCATGGAAATACAATCTTTTGAATTTCGAGTGAAATTCATCTTAAAGGTCTTCTTCTGATGTGACCTGATGACGCATATATAATAATATATTATACCATTATTTTATGGCTGACTACTACTCCAATTACCCCCTACCCCGGTTCTCGAGGCGTGCTAGAGAAGGCCAATGCAGGTCAACGTTGACTCATATCCTTTTGGGGACAATTTTGTTGTCCCTTAAATTTAAGAGATTTTGTACATGTAAAGTTCGAAAGAAGAAAACTTTAAATAAAATTGTTATTTAAGAATATTTAGATTCCAGAACTTTGTTATTGGTTTTAAAAAGAGCAGACTACACCCAGTGCTCCTGTGCCTTCCAACGAGACATCATACAAGAGTCAGTTACAATTAACTCTAGTAATAGAAAGAGTACAGGGGGCGTAGGCCCCGAGTATTAATCAGATTGTCGAGTGTTTTGATGTTCTTTCTCTTTTGTATCATAGGCAAAAATAAAATCACGCACCCTGTTGTAACAATATGAAACCCCTGAAAATAGTAAAACTATTGAACGAGCATCCAAATATGACATTTCTCTCTGTGTTTAAGTCTAATTAGACACTCCAGACTGCTGTTGAGTTTAGTGTTCGTTGACACATCAGCAGAAAGGTCCCCAAGTAGTATGTTAATCCGTGCTGTGTCTACAGAAATAGAACTTCAACGAAGCAGATTGTTCCTACCAGTCCGCGTTATGTTGGGGAATATGGGAGAGTGCTCTATATGGAAGTTTATTTTTGATGTTAAGGACAATTGATACCTCAGTAGTAATATCTTGCGTATGATTTATACATGAATACACAAATACATTAAAACTCTTTAATTGCAAATTAATTTCTTTTTGTATTGGTTTTCACTTTAACACGTGCAGTATCTTTTTCGCCAAGACGTCCATTTAAATCTGAACTGCATGTATATCTTTTATCAATAAATACAAATTAATGTAGGTTGACCTTTTGACGTCATTTTTTATTAATTAATATGCAAAAGCGGCCCACGAAAGCGCATGTGCAAATTTATGCAAATGACTATTTTTACAAACGCGGTTTTTAGAAAAAACACTATGAGCACTGATAAAATCTTATAATATTTGTTAAAGTCTTAAATTAGCAGAAGTTTATCACATAATATGTTCCTACGCTAAATGGATTTGAAATGTATATTTTAATTTAAACTTAATATGTTTACGTTACTGTACATAAAGTTGTTTAATGATCAACATTTATTTTTTGTCCAATCACTTGCCAGTATTTTTCAAAATTTTTCTGCTAGTCTAACTTTGGTTAATGTGTTCTAACTAAATAAAAATTCACTTAATCTGTCGGTCTAACCGCAGTCTAATCAAATTTCAATAATGCATTATATTAGGGAGGAGTTAGAGGTATGGTTTGCACTCTGAATTGTAAATTATCTAGGTTTTCAAAACAATGCTAACGTTACTTTTAAAAAGGTCAGTGTGTTGATAAATCAAAGTTATTACACAGATAATACAGGGGGCACGCAGAGACAATGATTACATAGTAACTTTTTTAATCCTTTTAACTCTAAGAAAAATGTCTTATAAATTGTGACTTGTTTTAAACTCTATATTTTCCAATTCAGTTGATAGGAATGAACTGCATTAACAATCCTTACATTCAAAGAATACAATTTTACATTTTTTGGCTGGACAATCATTTAAACGGACCTGTTAACCTAAATTGACACTCAGAAAAATGAAAAAGTGAACTGTTTTTCAAATAGAAATCAGGGATTTTAAATGTTAGTGAATAACTTGACGCCAATAACGAATTTGTATCAATTCATAATCTTAATGTTTTTTTCTCGACATTTTCATTTATTTTAAAAAAGTATGTAACATTTTAAACTCCATTGTGTTTATCTAATTCATCATTTTCCTGACATATTTTATAGAAACAATGATAACCCGGTATAAAAGCTGTGACATTCAGTAAAAACGTGCCTGATTATTGTTGAAAGGGCCATTTAATTAGCTTAACATAAATTGACATTGTTAGAAACTTGACAAGGTGTAGACATCTTGTAGAGTGAAAGGGCGGAGCTATCAGTGATTTAGAGCAATGCCTTGTTTTTGGTTGAAAAAAATAATGTTGATCATTAAATAGGTTAATGTTTAATAATATGCATTAACAAAAATAATTGGTCGCCTGCCTGCGGCAGGCTTGACCAATTATTTTTGTTAATACATATTATTAAACACTAACCTATACATAAAGGAAAATAAATTTCATAATAATTCAAACAACATGCATGTTATTTCTAAGCCGCGTAGATCTACTTCCGGTACAACACGTGTAACATCGACAACGTGCACTTGTTAATAAAACACATGTTTCTTACACCAATTATTATGTTCATTGTTTAGACAGTTATGTGCTCGTTTTCATGTTCTTTAAAATTAACAATTTATTTTATTTCATTCCTATTTTTTATGCATAAAAATAACTGAAAAGTAGAAGAGATCGATATTAAATGCAGAAAATTACTGCTGACTGTCAAACATTTACAAATTTATGCATTAAAAAAAATATATACGGCTGATTTATAATCCAATTTCAGATAATATAAAAATATGTTTTATTGTTTGGGAATATCGGATATATATTTCGATATGTCTTAGATATGATTTTTCGAAAATATAAGTTCTAGTTGGTTTTTTTCTCTCAAAATATTTGAATGTTATCATATGTCAGTGGGGTATATTTCATATCTATCAGGAATAAACAAATTGCCCTTAATATATTATCACGTAGCTTATGTAAACATAACTATCATTTTCACAGGTCCCTGAATCTGTCATCGAGGTTGAACATTATGAATACATGTAACATGCATGGCCATTGGCTAAAACATAAGTGACCAATAATTAAATTTCAAAATGTCATAACAACACCAAAAAATCTAACGCCCCTGGGTATATGATAATGTTATCTTATCAAACTATTAATAATTTAACTTAGTCAACCACTACAGCTTTTAAAAACACCGATATATAAACGGAAATTAAATGAACATGTTACCTGATAACAACAGCACAAAACGAAAATCAACAACGTTAAGTAACGCCATGATTACAGCTCGATTTTTATTCCGGTTATATTAAAATATGTTTAAAATTACGTTATTAAATACGTTATCATTGCAGGATCCGCATGTTGTTTACGTGTTGTGAAATAATCTGCGGTATTTATAAATAAACGTAATACGTGTCGTTTACATGTACATGTAACTATAGCATTTCAGGCGTAACGAGTGAACGTGGGTATTTTATAACAGATAAATCGAAAAATTGCTTAAGAGTTATTTTACATGCGAATTCATTAAAACTCGATGTACATTTTGTTATAGTTTGGTTTATTTATGTAGGGATTCAGTCATTATCAAAATTAGTTATATCCGTTTTCTTAAAAAAACACATGACACGTGCTGTCGTTGAACTTAATATGTATTGCACAACAGATTCAAACTAACGAACACAGAGATCCATATACGTGTATCGCCAAAAGCAGACGGACTAAATCACCTTTGACATGTAATTTAATAATCTTATCAGTATAGTTTGATATATACCGACATTCTACGATATATTAAAGCTTTTGTCAATATTACTTCACCCACGTATTACGCTTAATTTGTTTCCAATTTCTAACGAGATAAGCATTACCAATCCCCATCCTGATGCCAATACAATATTTTATCAGGTTGTTTTGTAGCAGACGACATATGTTTGAAAACATCTTCATGACGAAAGTGATTTAATCTATGTTTTATCCCTTACTCACATGTACGTTGTTTGTACCTAGGTCTCTCTTGGATTACCCAATAGATCTTAACATATATGGTCAATTCTTATGTTTATAACAACACAAATGTCTTCATTTATAATCATTAATGTGCGTTGCTATGGTTTCCAATATTTTTTTTTACAAATATCATATTTCTCCCCAATATTTTCTTACAACTCATGAAACAGTGCGGTATAAACTCCTTTACAAAAACTGTTAAATCTTTGCCACGTATGCACAAAAAACAAACAAAAACCCATACCTGTTATATAAAGGAAAATCGTAAAATATTTCCGCTCCATTATTTTAATGTAACCGAATACAAACAAAGTTTCCTCAATGTCACTCCGTCATATTCTATCAAATGCCTCTTATCACTTCCTTTAAGTAAAATCGACTCGTTTTCAGAAATTCACTGTACACGTCGTTTGCATGTAACGATAAATGCAATATTTCCTTATCTACGTTTTCAACACGGACACACCTTAAGTTGACCTATGTTTAAGAATAAGGTGTTATCATTTCTCCTCAATCTTAAGGTGGTAACTTAAACATTCAGTGTACCAACAATTATCTTTATAATAGCATGAGAACCACGCACTTGTGAGTGTGTGCCGTATATAACAACCATTAAACTTGATAACAACCTTTTTATTGATTTTCACCATTAACGTACTATATGTCGCAATCCTTTATAATTCTAGAGATAATGAAATTCTTACGGAAAGAAATCCTCTTTTTTTCGCAAATTGGTAAACATATTGGACAGTATTTAAGATGTTTTGTTTACTAATATAAAATATTCCCTTTAACTGAACTGAATAGCATGCCATCCACACTCGTTAGTTTTCATAACTCAATAGCTTAAACTCACGACACGGATCGTGAAGTGTTTGCATAATTGGTTCTTTCCAAAATTTATTATTAAAAATTTGAGGCAATAATTTTTCTACACATTTGATTGGAACGAGGAAGTGTTTTTCTCATGTATGAAATATTATGATAATTTCATTTATCATAGACAATTATTTACGTACATACAGAATAACTTCACTTTATAAAGTACACTCATGGAAAGAATGGAATGTAATTTTAGTCTTATTTATCAAGTAGTCTCTCAAGAAAATGCCTTTTTGTAGTGTTTAAATGTGATGTTTAATGGAAGTTTTCCACATATAATATAAGAATGATTGACAATTACTAAATTTTTTTTACATCAAGCAAGTGCGTAAATCATGCGAATATCAATTGATAAGATATATTTTAGATTGAGCTGAATGAATTAATAACAAGAGTTTCTATTTCCGAAATGAACGCGTTGTTTTCATAGTCAAAAATAGTTAATTTAAGCTCGCTCTGTGTAACATATTTTAGACTCAAGCTGGATATTTCAATTATCTAAAACATAAAATGAAATTGGCTTGTTTTCATGAAAATAGTTATATATTTAACTTTTTAGTGTTAACATTTTAGTACTACAAGCTGGTGAGCACATTTGTCTCGTTTCAAGTTCTCGGTGATTTGTGATATATATTTACACCAAAAAGTCAATATATGTTATCTCCGTTGTTTTATTTACGCAGTTTTGGTCATATTTCGGCGCCCGATTCACCTTACCAGCTTTCCTGGATATCTACCGGCAAATACCAATGTCTCCGCAAGTGATCAATTACTTATCCCGCCACAGATGAGAAACAAATTAGAGAATATTATAAGAAACATTAGACTTAATTTTTGAGATCTATTTCTACAGAGATATTTCGCCTCGTCCAAGAGAATCGAACCTGCGACCATGGATCACCAATCCGATGCTATGCTCTCCCTATTGAGGTATGCCGGCGGACCCCTTGTATTGTAACGAGTTTATGTGAGAAATCGAGACCGAATCTTTGAAATGCAGTATATAAATCTGGCATGAAAATATGTACATTTTGAAGGGTGTAAAATCATTCGAGTAAGCTTCAGTGAATATAAGCTTTATAAGTCTCCTGTCGCTTATTTCAATTAGATTAAAACGAACCAATCTATCTTGCATTCATGAAGTGGGCCGCCACTTTAATGAAAATATACATAACAAGAGCTGTCCGTAAGACAGCGCGCTCGACTTTTTTATTGCTTGCCAATAAAAAAAGTTTTTGCAGTAAAAGGCAATACAAGAATCTCTGTATTTTTAAAGTGAACAATGGCCATGAGCATTAAGATATTTAGTGAAGAATTATTTTACTGAATTGTGTGATACCCTTGAACACTGCAGCAAAGTTTGAAATGTTTAAGTCAAAAGAGGGCTGGTAAGAAAGAAAAAAAAACTGAGTTGAGCCTTAAATAAATTTAATTCTAAGTCGATAAAAGGCCTTAATTTTTAAAACAAATCCTTGACAGAGTTACCTTCTCTTGCGTACAGATGGGGGTAATGATGTGAAATAGCATTAAAAGTTTCAAAGCAATATCTCCAAAGGGTTAAGGCAATAAGTGGATTTTACCCATATTCAATGTATTTTTCTAAGTCAAAAAAGGGCATAATTCTGTCAAAAACCTTGACAGAGTTATGTCCTCTTGTCTGTTGATGAAGGTCGTGATGGTAAACAAGTATGGTCAGTTTCAAAGCAATACCTCCAATGGTTTTTGAAATAAAGTGAGGTGGTACAAAAAACTTAACCAAGCTCAATACACTTTCTAAGTCAAAAAAGGGCCATAATTCTGTCAAAAACCTTGACAGAGTTATGTACTCTTGTCTGTAGATGGAGGTTATGATGGTGAACAAGTATGGTAAGTTTCAAAGCCATACTTGTAATACTTCTGAAATAAAGTGGGGTGGTACGAAAAACTTAACCAAGGTGTGACGCCGACGCCGACGCCGACGCCGGGGCGAGTAGGATAGCTCCCCTTTTCATAGAAAAGTCGAGCTAAAAAGGACAGACGCATGTTATAAGATTAAGGAGTATTGATTTTGTCTAGTGTTGCAGCAATGAACGAGTTCTCGTGTCATTTCAAGTTACATTTAGAATTATTATCAGATCTCTGAGACAACCGCGAAATTATATTTCTGTAAGTGATATAATTTTTGCATTTTCTGCATGAATATCCAGGGAAACGCTCACAGCTGTTCATGAATTTTCTTTCGCAAGACATTGTTAAGTGACGTGAGATTTTTGAATGTTCTTTTATTACAGAAATTGTCATGATAATACGAACTGGTTATGTTTTGCCATGAATTGTTTATAGATTTGTAATGTTTTTCATGAATTTGACTTTAATATATCTTGAATTCAGTGCTATTAAATCATAATATTATGCCTTGAATTTGTCATTCTTTGTTTTTGTCATTTCTCAGTGCTTAACACGATCACAGAGTGTAAAGTTTTAGTACTTAGTTTATACCGTAGTACTTCATATATATTAAGAAAACAAGTAATTCCAATTCATATGTATTACTTATATCACTTGTATCACCGCTTCTCGGAATAAACCAGTCCTGGTGTCATAGCAGGAAACGTGGTCGTAAAGCTTGAACCTACAATACCCAGATTGGCAGGCAGACGCCATAACCACTAAGCCATCGGTTCCAAACTTATCATCACAACATCTTAGAGAAAACTAGACCTTCAGAAGTTCTTTACAAATATGGAACACGACAACTTTAAAATGTACATGTAACTTTATTTAAATTTATGAACAACAAATGATCACTTAAGACATTTTGAGCAAGATGAACATGGTATTTGGAAGAATATATTACATACAAGTATAATAGTAACACAAAAACCATTTAAATAACACAGTCTATTATGACATCACACATTTATCTAAAACGCAATAGCCGCTAAGTTTGATATGTATTTCCAAAGCCGTAGCATAAAGTTTTTTCTGTCATATCTTTGTTCATGCCAGGCTACTGTCTTAAACATAGCTCTTTGTATGCGTTTGTGTCCATCTCTCCGAATTATGATATTAAATGATTTGACTAGAACAAATACACCCCATGTCTTACTATTATGCAATTTTGTGTATCACAATTGAATGTCTTACGAGAGTTTACTATGTTTTCATGAAACGTTTTATTTAAAGGATGTTCTCGACAGAATGTCCACCAAAGAATATCACCAACTTGGCAAGTATAATATACAAAGAAGAATGACATCCAATGCATGGGTTATCTAACAAATATCATCATCGAAATTGTCACCCTGAGAATATCAATTACCTGGAATATCATGTACGGAATGTTATCAGGATAATGTCACCCAATATTATTTTACCCACATAATGTCATCTACTGAATGTCACCAGAAGAATTCAGTAATAAGACACAGAAAGTCACAAACAGTACACCATCCAAAGAAATCTGTGGAAATATGGTCATGTGAACTTTATTCACAAATTGTCTTTCCGTAAGTATCACAAAAAAACATCGGATGACTACGCATATAGAATAACATCCGGTCAATGTCATCTTCAGAAGAATATCCCTCCATCTGTTTTAACAGAAAACCAATAGAAAACCATTTCCTCATCTTCGATTTATACCTGACGACTCTCCCTGCAAATAAAAGTTATCATACATTCCATGGACTTATGGCATTTAATTACACGGAACTCATGTTTTAACAGACAACTCAGTTTTACTGACAGAAATTTAGATCTTAAATTTTTATTTTAATTCCCATTTTTCTCTAAACTAGGGATATTTTCCAAAAAGAAACATCTTGGAACATCTGTATATGAATATATATTTGCAATACGGAAAAATAAAGCAAAAATGACATTGCCTAATATGTAAATATCGTACGTAGAAAAAGTCACTTGCTTAATACATAGTTTATATTAATTACGAGAATAAACCTCATTGACATGAGTTGCAAATATCTTATCAGACTAAAAAGACAAAGATTGTGCAATATTACGTGATTACCCTCGTTATACCGAGACAAAGTAAGACAAATTGTTTTATACCTCGTCCTCACTTAGGAAACTTGCGTTACTATATCGCCATGGCATGTAATCCACGTCACGTGTTATAATCCAGTTTCCCCGGTATTTTCGCCTGTAACATAGATAGCATACATTTAGGTCACGTGACGACACCAGAACCTCGTCTTTTAGGTTTTGTTTCCTCCCAAGGTAATGATTATGATGGTTAAAATACCTAGAGTCTTAATATAATTTTTTTTGTTATATGGTTTTATCGAATAAGGCATGATCTTTTAATATTTTGTCAATGTGCGAATAAAATACATGTTCATGATTAAGCTATTTTCGTATGTTTTATCAAACTTTTATTATCTTCCGGTTATGCAATAAAGCTCAGGCGAAAACATTATTGAAGCATTAAATAAAACGAAAATGTTTGAATAATCTGTTTGTATTCTAATACATTTAACACACTTACCTTCTGTGCAACCAGAATGCAACGCCTACTAAGAAGAGGATGAACAATGGTATACATATACCGAGAGCTGCCTTCCCTCCCGTAGATAAACCATTACTTTTTAGAGCACTTTGCTGTGGAATATCTTCGGTACCTTGCTGAATTGCTATGGTACTTGATGTTTCTACATCTCCATCAGTGATGTGATTAATTTTTATTGTTGAAAAGATATTTCTTGTCTCTGCATTTGATTGTTTCCTTGTCGTGATTATTGATGACGTACTAGATGATATATGTTTTATTGTTGATGCGGATACATCTGAAAATGTTGATGTTATTGCAGTTCGTTTGGTAGAGGATTGGCGAACTGCGTTTGTAGTTGCTGATCTCGTTACCTGGCTAGTTGGAATGTCTAAAGTTGCTGCTGTCGTCAACAAAGTTGTTATTACTGTTGGTGATGTTTTGGTATATTCTGTTCCTGAATGTGTAGCTGTCTTTGATGATTGTTTGACTGAACTGCTTTTTGTGGACGTCAATGGCAGCTTTGTTACTGTTGAATTTGAAGAAATAGATATTACTTTATTTTTTGTTGAATACGTTGCGGAGCCTGTCGATGGATGTTTCATGACTTTGGTTGTTTTAACAGTTGATGTGCTTTGATTATATATAGGCGATACTGATGTTTGGGTAGACGTTGGAAGACCACTCGCTGTTGTTGCTTGAGTTTTGTTGGTTAACTGTGTTGCTGTGTAACCAGTTTGCATTGTTGACTGACCGGTTGAATATTGTGAAATATTTGTGTAAGTTGATGTATTCATAGCGTGTGAAGACGTAGCTGATAAATTCGTAGACGTTATTGTTGTTCTACCAGTAGAAGATTTTGATTTTGTATTCAAACCTGTTATTGGTAAATCTGAAGAAAATGGTGTAACTCCAATGGTTGATGCATTTGGTGAAGTAGTAGTGAACAGGAATGTGTTACTACTTTGTGATGTATTTGTGTTTCCTGTTTTCGTAACTGGTTCACCTGATGTGGTGTGATTCTTTGAAATAGTTGAATATACCATCACATTTAACGTTTGAGCACGTGGTGTAGTAGACGCGGTATGCGAGTGTGTTAATGGTGAATTAGTAGTTACATTTGACATTTGGACAGGTGATGCAATTGACGTTGTGATTGGCAATATACTTGACGTTTTCGCGACTGGGGTGCTTGATGTGTTCAATTCGTTTGTGACAGGTAAATGTTCAGTTGCATTTGATATTAGAACAGTTTGAGTACTTGACATAGTTTGTTCATATGTTAATGGTAGATTGGTAGATACATTAGACATTTGGACAGATGAAATATTTAACAGCATGGAATGTTCGTATGTAACTGGTGAATGTGTCGTTAGATTGGTCGTTTGAAAAAGTGAACTATTTGAAGAGGTTAAGTGTGACGTAGTTAATTTCGTGGCTGTATTTGATGTTTGTACAGACGAAATGCTTGACAAAGAAGATGATTGTGTTGTTGGTAAATTTGAAGTTGCATTAAAAGTTTTAGCTTGTTGTGTATTTGGTGTGGTGTATTCAAGTTTAATTGGAAAATTCGTACTTAAATTTGACGTTTGGACAAGTAAAGAACTAGAAAATGTGGTTTGTACATGTGTTACATCCAAAGGTGTTGTTTTAACCGATGTTTTAACAGACGAATCAGAACTATATCCCATATTATGCGAGGATGTAATCGTTGAATTGATAGTTGATTTTGATGTTTGGAAAGGTGAAGAAATTGAAGAAGTAATATTTTCGTATGTATTTGGTAAGCTCGTAGGTAAATTTGATGTTTTAACAATAGAAGTGTTTGACTTAGTAGATGAGTATGTGGTAGGTAAAGTCGTTGTTGCATTTAATGTTTGGACAGGTGATGTGCTTGTTGACAGGGTATATTCAGATCTTACCGACGAATTCACATTTGTATTTGACGTTTTACCGGACGGGGTAAAACCGTGTGTAACTGTTGTTTGTTCGTCTGTCGTATAAATATTTGTGTGTACGCTTGTTGGTAATGTAGAGGATGTTGATGAAAATGTTGGCTCTTTTGTAGTAGTATGTGTAGACGAATTAACGGTTGATGGTGTTGCTTCGACAGAAGCGCCTGTTACAATACCAGTATTATTATTTTTTGGTTTACGTGTTGATGACAATGTTGGCAATGTTGACATCCGAGTAGTTTTTGTATTCGTTGATGTATCAGTGATCCTGGAAAAAGTAAGCGATGATAACTTGGAGGCTACACCTGTTGTTGAATTAAAAGGGGTATATGTGGTTAAGTTTTTTGTCGTTACATCTGATGTAGTCAGAGCTAGATTGGAAGTTGAATCAGTCACTGTTTTTTCAAATGATTTGGTTGTTGTAACCGTTGATGTACGGAATGTTAGATGTTTAGAGGTGTTTGCTGATTGATCAGGAATTGTGCTTGTTAACGTTTTTACTTTTGTCACGTGCGGTGTGCTATCTGAAGCACGAGAAGATATGCTTGTTGGTTCGTGTGTCATGATTGTTGTGCTTGTTGACTGGCTAGGCGAAGTTGTTATAAATTTGCCTTTCATAGTGTTTGTTGATTGTGAGAACGTAGCGTTTGTTGAATGATACTGTGTACTGCTTGTTGACTGATAGGGCGGAAAGCTTGTTGACTGATGAGCTGTTACGCTTTTAGATTGATAAGATGTACTTGTGGAATGATCAGATGGAGTACTTGTTGTTTCATAAGACGAAGTATGTCTTGAGTGCTGAAGAGTAGTGTTTGTTGATTGGTGTTGTGTAGTGTTTGTTGATTGGTGTTGTGTAGTGTTTATTGTCTGGTGTTGTGTAGTGCTTGTTGACGGGGAAGGCGTTGTGTTTGTTAACTTAACTGTTGAAGTAACTGTCGATTTGTTTGTTGGAACATGCGAAGAAGCTGTTGTCGTCTTTAAAGGTGAACTGCTTGCAAAAGGTGATGTGGAAATCACTTTTAGTGTGCCTGTTGAGTTATGGAAAGAGATGTTTGTTGACTGTTTTGGTGTTGTTAATACAGTTGTGGATGGTACTGGCGATAAGCTTGTTAGTTGCTCATGTGGTGTACTTTTAAATACGTTCGTGGAAGTCACTGGTAATGTGCTAGTTGAATGGTATGTCGGCGTACTTGTTGAAATATCGTATGAATCAGTAGATACGTCTGTTGCTTGGAAAGTTGGTGGTACTGTCTCTATGACTGTTGGTTGAAGAGAATGCGTTGATTTTGACTGATTATTTAAAAGATCTATAGTGTTAATTGTTGCCATTGTTGAATGTGTAGAGGGATATATCTTATAAGTAGGAGATGTACTCGTTGTCGCCACAGAAGCCGTATTAGCATCTCTTAAATGTGTTGTTTTTATATCTTTCTTTGCTGCCACTGTCTCAGTGTAAGATGATGTTGTTGAAGCACCGTTTGCTGAAGTCACTGCACTTGTATGTTTGTTCGATGATTTACTAGTAATATATGTTGTATATACTGAAGTCTGATAGTTTGATACGCTTTCAGTTGATGTTACAAAAGATGTCTTTACTGTTGATGATGGATAGGTGGTATAAGTTGACGATGCGATTAATTGATTACTTGTCGTTTTATAAGATGGTATTGTGCCCGATTGATTACTTGTCGGAGCAAATGAAGGCTTATGCGTCGTAGGTGTAGATTTATAAATTGCTTCACTTGAGTTAAATAAACTTTTTGTCACTTTCGTATGGCCAGTTGACAGCCGTGTAGTTGATGTTGTTTTGGTTTGAGCAGATGCGTCACTTGTAGGGAGATTGGTAACAGTAGTTTGACTCATTGGCGATAATGACCGTGCTTGCGAAGATACCAGTGCTGAAAATGAAATGTCATAAGAACATAAAGCAAAATGAAGATATTGATCATATATATTTTAAATAGTAAAGATGTTATGTTAATGTTTAATTCGCGGTAAACATTTTAGAATGTCACCAGAATGAGTATGTTGCACAGCGTTTTTACAACGCAGGTTTACGTTTGAGACTTAATAATTATGTTTCGGTGATTATATAGCCATACTCAAGATAACTCGATGTATAAAGAAGAAATCCTCCTCAAGTTATTGTATAAAAAACATCTTTTTTTAATTGGTTTATTTATGTATTTTTTTTGCGATTTTTTTGTTTGTTTATTTTCCTTTCCTTATTTACTTTATTGCATTAATTTTCTTTTTTATATAAACATTTCATTGACAAACATCATCATGCCACTATATTCAACTTATAAATGCCAGTTTTGAAATAGACCATATAATAAAATTATGACTTAAACATATACCAATAATGAAAGAAATTATATATTTGATGGTATATGACGTTGTAACCAACCATCGATACATTATGGTAAATATTGACAACTTATAAATATATGACATAATGGTAATTTAGACTTAAAATTAGTAACTATCGTAGTGACATGTGTATATCAAATGAAGTTTTGACAATTTTGAAGGTTGATCGTCTATGACACTGTTATGAAAATGTCAAGTATTATAAGTTAATCGTTCAAATAAAAATAAAATTCACAAATAAAAATAAAATTCAAACAGGAGAACCGTTTGCACAATACATTTCGTTCATACTTTCGTGTTTAAGTGAAAAATTAATGTATGGGTATATATGTATGGAATCGTTTTCGTTCCAATATTATTACATGAATTGCAGAAAACTGTCATGAAGCATGCATATTAATAAAAGATGTGAAAATTTAAACATGAATAATCAGAAGTACTGACATGTTTTATATAATTTCGGAACAAAAACGTCAGATGACGTGCATTTACAAAATACATGTATATGGATGACTCACATTTCAGGCGGGTGTGATGCATCGTGTATACAAATAAATCCTAATGGATGCGGATCCCACTTTGATAATTAAGGAAATTACTTCGACTTCTAAGCAGACGACACAAATATTCCGTCTTTGTAAAGCGTTTAATTATAGTATGCTAAATGTTGTTGAAATACTTGATAATGAGTGAAGTAGATTGACAAATGCCATATAGTTCATGTTATTGCCCATTTTTCGTTTATTCCAAGAAATTGAATATCAAACAGTAAAAAAAAATCATAAATAATCACATAAACACATACAAGCCATATACATACGGACATACCATACTAAAACGACATTGTGGTCATTATTGAGCTTTATTGCCTATAATTCGAAAGATTGACTGCTAAAATGGTGACTGACCAACACTTGATATGGGAAAATGTTCAGGATAAAATATAAATTTGCCTAAAATATAAAAAGACTGACCGAGCCTTATGATAATTTGAACGTTACAGGTAAATTGATTTTTCTGAAGATTCTAAGGGTCACGTGATTTATTTATAGTTCATGCGAAGTAAAATAGAAAAATTAAAGGATTTGTGGCAAAATGTAAACTTATTTTGACGGTCAAATGTTCACTCCCTTGGATGGGCATGTCACTTTAATATATAATTCATGCACTCTGTACAAAATTGGCATTGCTGAAAACTATTTATTCTTTTACATCGAGTGCAATTAAATAATATTGTGATAATTTAACTAATGTAATTACAGGTATAATAAATAAATCGAAGTCATAAATGGGTGCCACAATGTATTTTTCACTTGCATGTTAAGAGTAAAGTTGATAATTTATGGTGATATATACGCCAGTTCTCGGGAGAATAAAACTAACTATAACTGGATGAATGAATTTTAAATCATTTTATTTTAGATCACGTAAAATTGTGTATGCAACAAATAATAAAGAATAAAGCGGTATAACCTATTATTATTTTCTTCCTTTTTATCCGTTTGTAAACATAATGGTATACAGATCGTTAGGAAATTATTTAGTTCTCATTAGAAATATAAAATAATGTAGGCCTATTCATCTACAAAAAGTCTAAATGAGCATCAAATATACATATATATATATGTATATATATCACAAAAAACGTATGAAAATACCAAAAACGCCAAAGAAAACTCAAAACAAAACATGTCGTTCAGTTTCACACTGTGCCACATAGTCTCGCTGTGTCATGCACTTAATTTCCCTTAAGCTCATGAATATATACATTGTAACAAAGGGGTAGGTGTGGGTCTGTAAATCATAGAACATGGGAGACATATTGTATCCCCATCTAAAGACATTAGTTAACGACAGAAGCCATTTTTCTGCCTTATAATAATTATGATAGTCTAGTTTGATATAAAAATAAAACTTACCTAAAAATATCATGAAAACTGCCGAGAAAGGTCTTATAAATTCCATATTTCAACGTTTTGGATACCCGTTTACTATTAAAGCACTAAATATCCCTGACATAACATCGATCGACCATTATAGATAAGCTTCAAATTGTTATCATTCAAAATCCGAACACAACCGATAAAACTTCCATTTTATCTGACAAATAATTTACGAAAACACTTTAAATCCGTGTTTTTCCTTGATACGCAAAATTATTTCAGAATTTTGATAGTCGGGTACATACATGTATACATGAATAACGCTTGACGCACGTGTACAAATATTTGAGGCTTGCTAGGTGTACATAGCAGATTACAAGCATCAGTCAGTTGATGACATGTTAGACATAATGGATAAATATTTAAGATGCTACGATGTAGATGTAAGTCACCTTTGACCTTAAGCCCTTCGTTGTTATCTCCATGCTATTAAATCTCTTTAATATGGAAACAATTAATCTATAAAGTTACACTTGCAGTATTTTTCAAATTCCACAACAAGTAGAAACATTGCGTTTTTATGTTTATCGTTAATGAATGAGTACAAATGTTTAACAATTTAAATGTGAAACACGTCTTGATTTAGATTAATTACAGTTGTGAAATAATCAACAACAGTTGACCAAATTAAACTAATTTAAACTGATTTCTAATTTAAAACATATTATCGTTTACATTACATAATTTAAAAACTTCAAAACGTAGCTCTTATTTGAAGCGTACATGATGTTCACAAATATGGCTTTATAGTAGAATGATAAAAGTAAGATAATTATTATAAGCTTTAACGCTTATCTTGAAAGTCCTTAAAGATCAATTGATTCGTTTGTTCAATCGTGTTTTATACGGGTATTTCAGACTTTTCGGGCACTGTGAATGCATGTTTACATGCAGACTATGAGCACAGTTAAGGGATTAAGTTGTGAGAAATTATCTCATAACACAAATTTCACAAAATATATATCAGCCATACATATATACAGAATAATAAATGGGTGACTGACTTAGATATTATACATCAACGAGAGATGGTAAATTTGTAGGGAAAATGATAATGTAAGCGCCAATTTGAAATAGAATTCGAAAAATGTTAAAGGGAGCTCGCAGACACTTTACGGTTACTTTTTTATACAATTTACTACCCAGTATAGAATGGTTCCCCTATCTGAAAAGGTGATAGACCACCCTCTAAAACATCATCAATAACAACTTCAAAATCAACTAAATATAACAATAACAAAAAGCAGAAGAACATATTAATTGGGATTTGCAGACATACATGTATAGAGGGATTTTGCAGACAATTTAAACAAAGAAGGGTTTCAGATTTTGCAGATAATGTATAGATTATATTGTAGGTGTTAAATCTCTTGTCGTAAGGTGTGAATGGGAAAGGATACTAGAAAATATTATAACATGTATTTAAAAAAGAACAAAATTTTAATTGATAGTTTAATGATATCTTAATAAATATGTGAAGTAGAGTTGAACATGAGATTAATAATAAAGATTGAATTTTGCAGACAAGTTAAATAAAGAGCAAAATTTGAAAAGATGGATGGGTGAAAATAGGCTAAATCTGTTGGTTTTTTTTTGCAAACTGAATGTTGAACAAAATATGAAATCATAATTGATAAAAAGGTAAATCTGTATTTTGCAGACATACAAATGCAATTGATTTGGATTTGGGACAGAAAGATACACTTTTTTGTCCCAGTTTGAATTAAATTTTTCTGACAGGTTTTGCGTAGCTTTGGTCCCTAAATATCTAATATAATTCATGATTTGATCTACATGTATATGACTCTGAACCCCGCAATTTTAATACGCATTTACGAACATAATACGCGTTAACTCATTCGAATACCTTTGACTATTATCCCAACAATTTAACTGTCCGAGATAATGGGAAAACTATGGGAAGAAGTGAAAGTAAACAAGAAGTTTGAGTGTTACAAATTTGTTAATGCTAGCTGTACTTAGTGAACAATTTGGTTTGTTACTTGGCAAATAGTTAATATTTCACTTATGTTTCGTAGAAATATAAGAAAATGCAAATATTTCTGTAATTTGTTAATGTTTTTTGTGTGCATTCGTCCTTGTGCCATATCGTACTTATATAAACAGAATAAATTTTCAAGCAATTTTTTTAAATAGAAAAACTGTCTGCAATAATGTAAATGGAACAAGCTGCTACCATATTAATCAATCAAATTCTTAAAGGTTGATTCATTTAAAAAAAATATCAAAAGGTAATTAGTCAATTTTGTACTGGTCTTGACTCTTGTACACAGATGTCTGGGGCAGTGGGGTCAGACCCTGTCCCCCAACGTGATATGCCCCAGTAAACACTCTATCAAAAATATTTTAATATCTAAACACGAATGTTACAACAATAAAACTGGTTTTCAAACAATTGTCTGTTAGTACGTATACCATCAAGAGACTGAATGGTATACGGTATTGGTTTCAAAAATGTAAAGCAGACTCTCCACTTTATTCCATAATAAATGATGGAGTTTCAAAAGTTATTGAAGAAAATAAATTCCTAGACTTCAGTAGACTGACCTTATTATTTGTTTTTATGCCCAAAAAGGCTCATTGTATGGGCATTTTGGTATCCAAGTCAGTCAAAATCACATGAAATAGAACTACATTTGTATTTATCTTTCTATCACAGGTCAATTTCTTCCCTTTTCCCAATGATGTGAAGTTTTGATGAGCTTTAAGATCTCACCAATATGACATCACTTCTCCTTAGATCTCAAACAAAAGATGTCTTCTGTAAATTATGTTGTGTGAGAGTTTCTAGATATAAAACAACCCAGGCTATCAGAGAGGAACCGAAACATGCATCCCATACTGAGGCAACTCTCTATGTACATGTAAGTCATGCAATATTACAATTGTTACTCAATAATATGAAGTATTTTCTAGTTTATTTATTGCAAGTTTAAACTTTTAATTACATGACATTCCTTGTCGTAATTGTATTGTAATCATTATGTACTTGTATTTATTTATTGTATTACAAACGTATGATATGAGTCTGCTTAATATTTTTAACCATATGTAAAGGTCAATGGTTGAGGTAACATTACAAACAAAAGTATCTCCGACAAAGAATTTACTTTTTCCAATATATTTGTAATACCATATGATAGAGAGAATCTTACAGATAAGTCAGTCTTATTATTCCCCCACCACAAAATGGGGGGGGGGGGGGGCTATAATGGATTCAATTTGTCGCGTAGGTCGGTCGGTCAGTCAGTCGATCAATCCGTCCGTCCATCTCCATTTTCGTATCGGCTCTATAAATCCTATACCATAGAAGGATTTTCTTCAAACTCGGCTCAAATGTTCACCTCAACAAAGAGATGTGCAGAACTCATGTTGCCCATGTGTCAGCTCAAGGTCAAGGTCACAATTGAAGGTCAAATATCAAAAAGTCAAATATTAGACAGTATGTCATGTCCGCTCTGTAAGTCCTACACTAATTGAAAGATTTTCTTCAAGCTTGGCTCAATTGTTCACCTCAACAAGGGGATGTGCAGAACCCATGTGTCAGCTCAAGGTCAAGGTCACAATTGAAGGTCAAATATCAAACAATCAAATATTAGACAGTATGTCATGTCCGCTCTGTAAGTCCTACACTAATTGAAAGATTTTCTTCAAACTTGGCTTAAATGTTCACCTCAACATGGGGATGTGCAGAACCTATGTTGCCCATGTGTCAGCTCAAGGTCAAGGTCACAATTGAAGGTTAAATATCAAACAATCAAATATTAGACAGTATGTTGTGTCCGCTCTGTAAGTCCTACACTAATTGAAAGATTTTCTTCAATCTTGGCTCTAATGTTCACCTCAAGGCTCAACAAGGTAATGTGCAGAACCCATGTCACCCTTTTGCCGGCTTAAGGTCAAGGTCACACTTGAAGGTAAAAAATTGACTTAGAAAATATTCTTAAATTTTAACATGTATTTGAATATTTCTGACACTAGAAAGGTTTTTTGCTTGAAACTTAAAATATATATGAAGTGTCACAATTAAGATATGCTGGTCAAGTTATGATCAGTGCTGCATTTTAACAAAGGTGTGCCCCTTTTTAAGTCTTCAAATTTACATACAATCAAATATTAGACAAAATGTCGTGTCCGCTCTATAAATCCTATACTAATGGAAGAATTTTCTTCAAACTTTACTCAAATGTTCGACTCAACAAGGTTATGTGCGGGCATGTTACCTTTGTGCGGGCTAAAGGTCAAGGTCACACTTGAAGGTCAAAAATTGACTTAGAAAATGTTCTTAAATTTTAACATGTACTTAAATATTTCTGAAACTAGCACAGGTATTTGCTTGAAACTTAAAAGATATATGAGGTGTCACAAATAAGATATGCAGGTCAAGTTTCATAACTCTGTATTGCATTTTGACAAAGTTATGCCCCTTTTTAAGTCTTTAAATTTACATACAATCAATACTAGACAATATGTCGTGTCCGCTCTATAAATTCTATACTAATGGAAGGATTTTCTTCAAACTTGACTCAAATGTTCACCCCAACTGGGCAATGTGCAGAACTCATCTTACCCTTGTGCCAGCTTAAGGTCAAGGCCACTTTTGAAGGTCAAAAATTGACTTAGAAAATGTTAAGTACATTGGGAAAATGAAAGGTTATTTGTAACTGTTATAAACATGATTTGACAATATATATTTATACTATGACCTGTACAATTAGTCTTTCTTTTCACCAGAGATAATTTCTTTTTATGTATATGTATTTGTGCCACTAAAGTTATTCCCTTAACCACCTTTCCCAGTCATCTTCTGTCAAGGACATTGGCGGGGGTATGAATAGCATTCAGCGATGGTTCTAGTTTAATTTGACCGAAATATGTACTAAAACTGATTATATTCACACCATAATGTCCCAGATGTCCAGAATTATGCCAGAAATTGGGTATTTGTTGTAGAGGTGTCCCAGGAACGATCTTTTTTTGAAAAGCAAATGGATGTAATAATTTAATTCAGATTAAGCCTTTTCTTTTACCTCCGTTTGTTTCGAATGAAAATAAAAATTTGAATGTAATCATTAAAATTTTGATGTTGTTTTTTTTCAGTGGCCTTATTGTGCCAGAAGATGTACTTATTGTAACTTTAATAAATACATTAGGTAAGAAATTCAATTTAGAAATATTGTAAATAAAGGTAACTTATGAAAATAAGTATTTTCACAGTTCTCAGACTGCATGTTCCAGTTTATAAACTGGTATTTATTTAATTGTTTGCTTTTATGGAGTGTCATTGGTTAATAATCATTTATAGATGTTATAGTAAACTTAGCATGCATTATTCATGATTTCTGTTACTTTATGGTCATAGTGGTGTAAAACCTAATTTTATTGTCTGCTATAGAAACTATTGTTAAAATGGTTGTCAAAGGACTCCAGATATGATAAATATTATTTTACTACATGTAGTATATTGAAATTATATTTAGTTTGTCATTTCATATTTTTATTGAAAAAACTTACTCTATGAGAATATTGGGTGTCTGCTACCTATTTTAAAATTGTTCATTATTTCAGTAAGTCTGTTGAGCATTCAAGGATGGCAGACTGTTTGAAGAAGGAGACAAGCACCTTGTTACAACTAAGTGGAGTTTCTCAAATCAAATCCATCTTCTTTGGTGGAGGTAAATTACATGACTTGTTTCACATGATTTGTATTCTTTTAGCCTTTTTAGCTCACCTGTCAAAGTGACAGGGTGAGCTTTTGTGATCGCTTTTCGTCCGGCGTCCGTCCGTCCGTCGTCCGTAAACTTTTTCTTTAAATGACATCTCCTCATAAACCACTAAGCCAATTTCATCCAAACTTCACAGGAATGTTCCTTTGGTGGTCACCTTTAAAAATTGTTCAAAGAATTTAATTCCATGCAGAACTCTGGTTGCCATGGCAACCGAAAGAAAAAACTTTAAATATCTTCTTTTAAAAAACCATAAGAGCTAGAGCTTAGATATTTGGCATGAAACATCTTCTAGTGAGTGTCTACCAAGTTTGTTCAAATAAAAGCCCTGGGGTCAAAATTGGCCCCGCCCCGGGGGGTCATTGATTTTCCCTATATGCATATAGTAAAAAGTTAAAAAATCTTCTTTTAAAGAACCCAAAGAGCTAGAGCTAAGATATTAAGCATGAAACATGTTCTAATGGGTGTCTACCAAGTTTGTTCAAATAAAAGCCCTGGGGTCAAAATTGGCCCCGCCCCGGGGGGTCATTGATTTTCCCTATATGCATATAGTAAAAACTAAAAAAATATTCTTTTAAAGAACTCAAAGAGCTATGGCTAAGATATTGAGCATCAAACATGTTCTAATAGGTGTCTACCAAGTTTGTTCAAATAAAAGCCCTGGGGTCAAAATTGGCACCGCCCCAGGGGGTCATTGATTTTCCCTATATGCATATAGTAAAAACTTAAAAAATCTTCTTTTAAAGAACCAAAAGAGTTAGAGCAAAGATATTTAGCATGAAACATGTTCTAATAAGTGTCTACCAAGTGTGTTCAAATAAAAGCCCTGGGGTCAAAATTGGCCCCGCCCCGGGGGGTCATTGATTTTCCCTATATGCATATAGTAAAAACTTAAAAAATCTTCTTTTAAAGAACTCAAAGAGCTATGGCTAAGATATTTAGCATCAAACATGTTCTAATAGGTGTCTACCAAGTTTGTTCAAATAAAAGCCCTGGGGTCAAATTTGGCACCGCCCAGGGGGTCATTGATTTTCCTTATATGTGTATTATAGCAAAAACTTAAAAAATCTTCTTTGAAAAAACCCAAATAGCTAGAGTTAAGATATTAAGCATGAAACATCTTTTAGTGAGTGTCTACAAAGTTTGTTTAAATAAAAGACCTGGGGTCAAAATTGGCCCCGCCCCGGGGGTCATTGATTTTCTTTATATGTGTATAGCAAAAACTTAAAATCTTCTTTGAAAAAAACTCAAATAGCTAGAGTTTAGATATTAAGCATGAAACATCTTCTAGTAAGTGTCTACAAAGTTTGTTCAAATAAAAGCCCTGGGTCAAAACTGGCCCGGCCCCAGGGGTGTCATTGTTTTTAACTATATGTGTATAGTAAAAAACTTTAAAAAAATCTTCTTTTAAAAAGCCCAATGAGCTAGAGCTTAGATGTTTAGCATGAAACATCTTCTTATGGGTGTCTACCAAGTTTGTGCAAATAAAAGCCCTTGGGTTAAATTGGCCCTGCAACATTGGGGGGGGGGGGGGGTTGGGGGGGGGCCTATATACAGGTGAGCGACCTCAGGGCCATCATGGCCTCTTGTTGAGATTTAGTCTTGATTTGCCTTATTGGGAAATATTTCATTTATGTTATTGGGGGAAAAAGAAATCCAGTTGCTTATCCTGGAAATTGGGAATAGGTCCATTTGAAGAACCTTTTCTAAAGAGAAAAGAAGTAGAAAAAAAATACCAAAAAAAAAAAACACTGTACAAATTCATGGTAAGATTTTATTAGAGGCTTCAAATATTACAGCAGTGATAAAGAATCTACTTCAACAATTATTACTGATAAGTTCCTAACTGTAGATAATAAAACAGTAACAATAAGATACAATGTATATACAAATCTTTGAAGAAAGATGCATGTCTTATTTAATAAAAATGTTTTCCAACCTTACTTTAGAAAGCCATTAACAGGACTTTTATTTGACTGAAAAGATAAAAAAAATTTCAGGTACACCTAGTTTAGCTTTACCCAGTACAATTGAAAAGGTGATTGGTACAGTAAAAGGACATGTGACCTTTTCAGAGAGGTCAGAGGTCACCATGGAAGCTAATCCAACACATTTAGAGACAGGTAAACTCAGGTATAAACTTGTTTACAACTTAACTTTCATAGTAGCTACTACTCCAAATAAATTTCTAAGGTGTCTCTTAATGCTGTAGGTTTGAGCTAAAAATCTATCCAGCTAGCTTAAAGAACATGCGTGGTTCTACTTAGGAAATAAAGCACAAAGGGGCATCTTAGATCTTCCTCCATCAGTAAAGCTGGAAAGTTGCAATATGACCTAATACTGTGTTGGTGTGACATAAAACCCAACCAAAAAACTAAATTCCTAACTGATAAGTCAACTGTCCCTCTCTTACCCCTGTTGGCTCATTTCTTTCACCTCATAATGCCTTTAGGGCTGGGGCTTCAATTGACTGGTTCATATTTGTGTGTGATTAACAAAGACAGAAAATCAAAGCACAGAAGGCGCTGAATTTGTTTGGGTCTCAAAATGTCAGAAAGGTGAAGGTTGTGAGATTATAAACCAGTTTGTTTTTGTATAGTGCCACCAATGCTTTCCAGCGTTTTTATTGTAGTAAATTGGCTGTAAGACTAATTGCAACACTGATATTCAATTCAATGTTTATTTGACTTAAACAATTTGAAAAAAAAAATGAGATGCCTTAACTGGGATTTTAACTCAAAACCTCTCGCTTCCTAAGCGAGAGCGCAAACCCCTCGGTCACGGTGAAGTGATATGTGAAAGGCCTGAAGAAAACCATATTATTCCAAATTAGGGTTTGTAAACCTTATTATTTCGAGGCTAACTGTTTTTTTCGCTACCATTATTTGTTTGGTCTGACGACCCAAACAAATAAAAAGTGAACATGTCTTTTGAAAATATTTATTTTTGGAAAATGAAAGAACAATCCTGTTTTGAGGAGGGCTTTTATGCACTGACATGATGATCTTCAGTAATTGACTTAAATAAGATAAGAGCTTGAAATATTGCATTTCAAAATAGCTAACAGTATAGATTAGGGTCATTATTGGTGTGCAGACTGGCATGGAAAAGTCAATATTTCTGTTAGCGCTCAAAGAAATAAATCAGCTTTCTCATTTAACAGAATCTATATCATTTTCATTTGAATGATGAAATCTCCTTTGATTTTAATAAAACAGACTTTTTACATGATTTAAACTTCCCCATGACTTAGGTTAACTTTCAAGGAATTCAGTTTGACATGAAATTATTGGTAACTGCAGAAATGAGCAGAATTCTGTATTGATTGCTATGATATTAATGCAATAATGCAGTACAAGTAAATTTGGAAATGAATATTCAATGAAATTTTCCTAATATAAGCTGTCACACATAAAAGCCTGTTTGATTAATTGAAAGAAGAAAAATAGTTCTTGTTACTATTTTGAGACATTAATTTTGTGATTTTGTGGCACAATATCATTTGATTCTTGTTACACCAAAAATGGCACTTTCTAAGATTAAGAGTTTAAAGGTGAAAAAATGATATTTGTTGGAAATTTGTAATATTGAATGAACTGGTTATGAAGAGTTTACAAATATGTTTAATAAATCTGGAAATATTGATAATTAAATTGTCAACATCAAACAATACTTTTTCTTTACTTTAATAAAAAAAAGTTGCATTTTTCTACAAGTTTGGCAATTTAATTTTTGTTATTGATATATTTTTAGAGATTTTCACGAGGCAGGTGTGAACAGATTATCTATAGGTATTCAGGTAGGTTCCTCATTTAACTTTAATTTTCCAACCCTAGTTCGAATACTGACTCACCTACATGTCACCAGTATATAGCCATGCCGTACCCTGTCCTTGCAGTCCGACCAGATCTGATATCATTGGTATTAAAGTGACATTATGCCCATTCAAGAGTATACGTTGAGTCAGTGAGTGAACAGATGAATAAATAAGTTTACATTTTCCATAATTCCTTTCGGTTTTATTATATTTTTCACATGAACGATAAATAACTTTCATGGCCCAAGGAAATTTCTGTAAACTTTCATCAGAATATACATGTAACATTCAATTTATAAAATGAGTAAGGCAGTCATTTTTAGATTTAAGGCAGATTTATATTTTATCCTAAACATTTTCCAATTCCAAGGATTGGTCAAGTGCCATAATAATGGTCATTCTTTTGAAATATATTGTCAATTCAGCTCAGCAATGAAAAAAATGAGCATAATGTCACATTAACAAGGTACAGTTCAAAAAATAAAGCAAGGAGTGAAGTTAATGTTAATTCGTAGTCCTGATTTACGCCAGCTATAGATCTTAAGAAAATTATGCATTTAGAATCATAGCTGTGTTCATTTTACATATCTACAGTAGCAACATTTTGGCTTTTGACTTTGATAGGCCAAAAGGAAAACTTCAGTAAAAAGCAAATTCTGATTTTCTAAAAAAATACTTTTTTCTAGTGGGTGAATTGTACTGTATTGTTAGAACATATGGTTGTTGTTTACATATCATTCTGATTAGACTTGATTTTATGTGTGTGTGCTGAATAATTGACTATTCCTTTTATGTGGATAATTACTAGGCCTAGGCATGATAATTATCCACATAAAACATGAAATAAAATAATTCTGTGACAAGACTTAAATTTCAAGGTTAGAAATTTAATTTGAAGCTCATTCCAATCAAAATATACACTGATCTTGTGTGATTATACAGATTGAGTTTACAGATGTAGTAAATTTTACGTCTGCAGTGTGACATGTAAGCAGTTCTATGACTTCATTGTTTTATTCATTTATTACAGGCATTAAACAGTGAAGATTTAAAGATATTAGGCAGAGATCATTCAGTGACAGAAGCATTAAAGTTAGTACTTTATGGAAATCATGATGTGATAGAATTTTGTGTACTATCCCCCAAATATATAACATCACTTGTGTTCTCAATGCATAGATCAATGACCTGTATTATTCTAATTATCAGATTAGTGGATTACAATAAGAATTTCACCACAACATATTTGTACACAAAAGAGCACATGTCAATGTTTGTGGTTAAATCTATTGTTATTCAAATAAAATGTCAGAGTGGGGATCTATCAATACATGATTCTGGTGACTGTAAATAATTTTGCCAATACACACATGCACTTGAGATAATAAAGTGCCTGTCTTTTAATTTTCACAGGTGTGTAGAAGAGGCTAAATATATATTTCCTGGGAGGGTGTCCGTGGATTTGATATTTGGTAGACCTGGACAGACTGTTGAGGCATGGAGGAAAGAACTACAAGAGGTTTGTTTACCATTTGTAGAAATACAGATAGTTTTATAATGTATAACAGTTATAATTGTAGAAAGAAGTGAACAAAAAAAATTTCATTGAAAAATAATAATCTGTAGTTTCTTGTTGGTAATGTTTCATATGTACATGTATTATGTTGATGAAATACACACAGGTTATATTATTGAAAATGTTGTTGCTTTCTTTTCTTCGGGCCCTAACAATAAGGATGACACCATTTATTAAAATTATTTAATAATTTGCTGAGGCCCACATGGAAGATCGGGAAACCGAATGTGTAAGCCTCGTTAAATAAAGTTGTTACTTACTTACTTACTAATTGTCCTCGTCCAAATTATCAGTATGAATTGAGGGACCATCTCATACTGATCTTATAAAATCACATTTGCATACACATTTACAGCAGCTTTAAAATGACAAGAATTCATGATTTCAGTAGCATTTCTTGAGCACCAAAACACTCATTTTTATTGCCTGTTTAGCATAAATATTTGAATAATAAAAATTTTCTCTCACTTCAGGTGACAGGTATGGGTGTGAACCATGTATCCCTGTATCAGTTGACACTAGAGCGCGGCACTCAACTCTTCAAGTGGGTGGAGAGTGGTCAGATCTCACTACCTGATAATGAGACTATGGCAGACATGTATATAGCAGCTGTGGAGGTAGGTAATGCTGGAAAACCTCTCTCTTTTCTCTAGGGTAAGATCAGTGCCCCGATCAGTGCAATGTAAGAACAAAGCACTGAAAATGTACTATACATGTATATTTATTATTATAAGATAGTAGATTTTTCTCACTTAATTGGGAAGAGGCCTTAATTTATTAGCCTCTTGATATTGGGAAAAATCATCACTAAAATTACTAATTTTGGAAGTAAAAAAGCTGATGTAAGTTCAGATTTTTGGATAAACTGCATGATTTAAAAAAAAAATCAGTTGTGAAGAGGCTTTTTATTGACCTCTGTTTTATAAGGAGAAAAATCACTGTTATGGTAGACAACCTTTGTTAATTTTTTCTAAATCATCGCAAGATTAATATTACCAAACTGTACCTGAAGATGAGCTGCTGGTGTCCTGGCTGAAGCAAAACTTTTGACTGATATACAGTTTGATGATAGGGGGAAACTATACAGCTATATGAATGTCAGCCAAGACTGTGAGAGGTGTTAGCTTGAGTTTTATCTACAGAATCCTGTTGGGGCCATTCATAATGTCGCCGTCACATTTGCATGGTCGTCACACGACAACATGAAATAACATAGCGATATGATGAAGTGACACCCGACAATCGCAAATGACGGCGACAACCTCAAACCACAATGTTGCGATATCTACATTAAAATGTCACCTATAAAAGCACGATATATCACGATGTCACTTTGCATTGTGGATTGTCATATCGCATTTTCCCTTTGTCACTTTGTGTTGTCGCGATGTCACTTCGCGTTTTCGTGTGTCAACCCTGCAAATGTGATGGCGACATTATCAAACAACACGCAACAATCTCAAACGATGCTTGACAATGCAAAGCGACATTTTTCTTATGTCGTATCTTCTGTCGCGTGTTGCGGTTTTGTTTGAGGGTCATACAGTTGCAGGTTACTTGACTTTTACATTCCATTGAGACGTGGTACAGTGACTTACTTTTGAATTAGAAATTCTTTTGTTTCCTGTATACTCTATGAACATAGAGCAGTGAGAAATATCCCTCCAATTAGTGCTTTAAAATAAACTGTTTACTATTAAGATCAGTGGAATAACATATTCTGACTTGGTATTTTTATGTCTTTATTTCAGATACTTCAAGAACATGGATTAGATAGATATGAAGTCTCCAACTTTTCTAAAAAGGTCTGTTTTAACAATTAATTAATGGTTAGATGTTTAAAGGAAATGGTCTTGAATACTTTGAGTCATTTATTGTAGTTGTTAAGGTCTTCTTTCTTCTCTTTGTATCACATTTTGCTCCCCCCCCCCACCCCCAAGAAAAAAAGAAAGAAAAGAAAGGAATTATGAAATATTTTGCTTAAAATATTGATTATTTGTCAGGGAAGTTAATAGTATTAAAAACAAAATGCATATATTTACTCTTAGATACTTAGAAAACTTACTGTCTAAAGTTATAGAACTTGTTTTCAGAATTGATTTGATAATAAGTCATTAATATTCTCTTCAATGAATATGACAATGAATTATTTTAAATTCAAAGGTTTTTATACACATCATCAGTGCTGGAAATGAGTGTATTTCATGTTAGTAACTTGTGTTAAAAGTGAAGAAATAGTCTGTAATAAATTTATATATAAAGATTTGCACCTTTTTATATTGTAGGGCTCAGAGAGTGAACATAATCAGGCCTACTGGCAAGGCTCACAGTATATAGGTGTTGGCCCAGGTATGTTATTCTATTAAATCAATCTGACCCCTATATAAGCACTGAAGCATTACTTGAAACAATTTTGTAAATTTATATATAAAGATTTGCTTAAAATAACAGTTATGCTACTATACTAAAAATGGGGTGAATGCTTTACTACAATAAAAAAAATCGTCTAAATAATGACAGGCAATGTCAAATGGAACAGTGTATTATATGAATTTTCAAAAATAAATCTTAAACTTCTAATCTTAGTACATATTCTTAATAAAGAGGGGAATCATCTTTTATTATTTTATATTAAGTGGTTTTAAAAATGAGGAACATTTTTGTAAAAAAGTGAAATTTGCCACTTGTAAAAAAAGGTCACTTAAGATTCATTGGTACCCATTCATTAAAGGTGCTCATGGCAGATTTATACCAACAAATGTGAACCAGTCTGAAGGTGATGAACTTGTTAGAGAGGCTAGGATACAAACACTGGAACCAGACAACTGGATGTTTGAGGTGGAGAAATATGGACATGCAACCAGAAAAATTGTGAAATTATCTGTTAAAAATAGGTATGAATTAGAAAATACATTGAACGTTTTAGTGTTTGGTGACTATAAGTTATTCATGTTTGACTGTCACATTTGTTCCCTCAATTATGTAGTGTATGCAATGTGAATATTATGTAGTAGATACTTTGTGAAAAATTATGTAGTGTATACTATGCGAAAGAATTTCTTATATATCTGGTACCATCAAACAATAATTTATCCCTGAGGAAGTGATGAAGTATTAGTTAAGGTGTCTGCCTCTCAACCCAGGGGTCATGGGTTCATACCCTTCTATGTCTTACCAATGTGTCCTCATCAGTCACCTGCACTGATAACTTCTAGGAGAGGATCAAATAAATTTCAAGCTTTCATCTCAATCAAGATTACAGGAACTCCTCTGATGCCTAAAACCATGAAATTTGAAATGTTTACATAGATATAAAACAAAAAACATGCCAAAGATAATAAAGACATACACTGAGAATTGAATTTTATTTGTAGGGTTCTTGGTCCAATTTGAGTTAAAGCTATTTAAGTGCTTTATTCTGGGAAGATGGATGGTGCTAATGATATTCCTTTATTTCATTGTAGACTGGAGGAACTTATATGTTTAGGGTTAAGAACCAGAGGAGGCATTGCAAATCAGGTCAGAAATCATTTAAGTTTTCTACACTGTAATTGTAAAAAAAGACTTAAAAATATTATGGCATATTTTCTTGTTCATTTTTAAAAGTAATTTGGAACTTCTTTGATTTCTAGGATAACATTTACTACTTACCTGCGTTACTTTATCCATATAGTTATAAAAACTATATAATCTTAAGTGTTTTTAATAGGTTTTTATTATAAAATGATAGCATCATTAATTTCACTGTCTCTATAGACTCTTCAAACTGTGGAATGTTGGGTTGAATCTTTGTCTTACTGACACATTTCTAGTTGTATCTTATAATGACCGTACATCACAATTACAGCATTCTGTTTTGAACCATTTGTCTTAATAACATGTATAAAATGACAGGACTTGAAGTTTATCTTTTTTTGTTTACAGACATGGGAAAACCTAGCAGGAAAGAGTTTACTACAAAGTTTTGGTTCCTCTGAAAGATGTGCTCAGTTAATCGAAGATGGACTCCTTTATTTAGATCACAGGTAAAACATCTCCTGTATGGTACACCAATGTGGTGAATATTTATATGCCTTTCACTCAGATCAGTTAATACATGTTATAGTGAACACTGAATAAGTCTGTTCAACATGGCTTAAACATTAATTGACACATTATCCATATTTTATATAGCATTAAAGTATTGGAAAAGAATCATTACAGATGAAAAAGAAACAAGAGAAAAACTGGAATACTTGGTTTTACCATTTGTCTACTTATTGGTAATTTGAGTTAATTGCATACAGAGTTAACTTGCTAGAATAAGTTATATTTAGCCTGCTGAGGGTAACAGATTCTACCCATGCTTACAGTACAGACTAAAATTAGCCAGCATGTCCTTGCTATCTTATTTTTAAATCCTCTTCCAAAATTAATGAATGGTTTTGCCCAGATTAAAAAATAGACAAACCTTTTTAGCTCACCTGTCACAAAGTGACAGGGTGAGCTTTTGTGATAGCTTTTCGTCCGGCGTCCGTCCATCTTTTACTTTAAATGACATCTCCTCATAAACCACTAAGCCAATTTCATCCAAAATTCACAGGAATGTTCCTTTGGTGGTCACCTTTGAAAATTGTTCAAAGAATTTAATTCCATGCAGAACTCTGGTTGCCATGGCAACCAAAAGATAAAACTTAAAATATCTTCTTCTAAAAAACCCAAAGAGCTAGAGCTTAGATTTTTGGCATGAAACATCTTCTGGTGGGTGTCTACCAAGTTTGTTCAAATAAAAGCCCTTGGGTCAAAATTGGCCCCGCCCCAGGGGGTCATTGATTTTCCGTATATGCATATAGTAAAAACTTAAAAAATCTTCTTTTAAAGAACCCAAAGAGCTAGAGGTAAGATATTTAGCATGAAACATCTTCTAATGGGTGTCTACCAAGTTTGTTCAAATAAAAGCCCTGGGGTCAAAATTGGCCCCGCCCCAGGGGGTCATTGATTTTCCCTATATGCATATAGTAAAAACTTAAAAAATCTTCTTTTAAAGAACCAAAAGAGCTAGAGCTAAGATATTTAGGATGAAACATCTTCTAATGGGTGTCTACCAAGTTTGTTCAAATAAAAGCCCTGGGGTCAAAATTTGCCCGGCCCTGGGGGTCATTGATTTTCCAAATTTCCTTATATGTGTATAGGAAAAACTTAAAAAATCTTCTTTGGAAAAAAACAAATAGCTAGAGTTTAGATATTAAGCATGAAACATCCTCTAGTGATTGTCTACAAAGTTTGTTGAAATAAAAGCCCTGGGGTCAAAATTGGCCCTACCCCAGAGGTCATTCATTTTCCCTATATGTGTAAAACTAAAGCAAAAATTGAAAAATCTTCTTTGAAAAAACTCAAATAGCAAGAGTTAAGATATTAAGCACGAAGCATCTTCTAGTGAGTGTCTTCAAAGTTTGTTCAAATAAAAGCCCTGGAGTCAAAATTGGCCCGCCCTGGGGGACATTGATTTTCCTTATACGAGTATAGCAAAAACTTAAAAATCTTCTTTTAAAAAACCAGAATAGCTAGAGTTTAGATATTAAGCATGAAACATTTTCTAGTAAGTGTCTACAAAGATTGTTCAAATAAAAGCCATGGGGTCAAAACTGGCCCTGCCCCCATTGTTTTTAACTATATGTGTAAAGAAAAAACTTAAAAAAATCTTCTTTTAAAATTCCCAACAAGCTAGACCTAAGATGTTTAGCATGAAACATCTTCTAATGGTTGTCTACAAAGTTTGTTCAAATAAAAGCCCCGGGCTTTAAACTGGCCCTGCTCCGGGGGCCTATGTACAGGTGAGCGACTTTAGGGCCATCATGGCCCTCTTGTTAAGATATTTAGGTAGGTAAGGGTCCATTATGTACAATTGTATTTGTATTATATTTAGCTTAAGATAAGATGGCAAGTTTTCAATTAAGTCATAAATGGATTAATTCAAGAATTTTCTCATTCATATAGATGTTTTGAAATATTTTATTTCAGTGGAATAAGAGCAACATGTAAAGGGATAATAATTCTTGACTCTATTATACCTCACCTGTTATATACATTGGATCAAGAGTGGAAACAAGAAGGTGTCACATGACCCATTAGCACAAATAAACTGAATACATTATATATGATACCGCATAATATAACAATCCAAGCCGTGGATAGATAGAAATCTACAAGACGTTAAATAATGGGTTGTGACTTGTAGTTTTATTAACATGCCTGGTTGAAGATTGATGGATCTGTCATGGTAGAGTTGTCTCCCTTACTTGAACCATTGAAAAAACACCAGTTGAAGATTCCTTATTTTTAATACAAAAGGATTGAGAACATAAGTGTCATCATTATTAAATGTGTGTAGGAGAATATAAACTCAAATGTGTTAAGATTGTGAACTTTTAATTCGTTTTCATATTGAAATAATGTTAACTTTTGAAACTTTTTATTTACATGAAAAATGTAGTAATAACTGTTATACTAGTTGTACACCTGATGGGAATTTAATCTGAAGTTATTGAAAGCAAAACAATGTTTAAACAATGACTGATTTGTGAGTTTGTTAATTTATGTGTGAAGTTGTCTTAAAGGGCCCCGTTCTCCACCTAATCATCCCTGACTTTTGCACCTTTGTACATTAATCTTAATCCCCATACTTCTATTCAATGTACAGCTGTGGGAGAATGTTGTTATTCCTAAGGTTACAATAGAATTGTTTTCACCAAACAGTATTTGAATTGATATAGGTCAAATATTTTCAAACAGAACATTTAAATTGTTGTTATATTTTGTTAAAACAAAATTGGTAGACACCCATTAGAAGATGTTTCATCCTAAATATCTTAGCTCTAGCTCTTTTGGTTCTTTAAAAGAAGATTTTTTAAGTTTTTACTATATGCATATAGGGAAAATCAATGACCCCCTGGGGCGGGGCCAATTTCGACCCCAGGGCTTTTATTTTAACATTTATTAATAAATTTTCTGTGTTTTAGATTTCACCAATGGATTTCGTGTATAGTAATCATGAAGTTATAATTTTGCCTTAGATTTGATGATATTGATCTTACTTTCATTGGGGAAAATGCTAATATAATTTAGCAGTAAGGTAGCACACTTGTAGTCGCTGCTGTGAATTGCTGTTGATGACTATTTAGATCATGTAGATATAGTGACTTATGGATTTAAATGACTTTAAATATTTTTAAATGCATTCAAATTTTATGACTGTAATAGGAATTATGGCAATGGAAACAGGGCTTGCTAAAAATCAAGCATTCATTATGTATTATGTATAACAATATTGCAATAAATCAAAAAAGGATAGTTGTAAGAACCTATTTCTTTTTTTGTTTTGCAACAACTTGATTTGTAATCATGATTGAAAATAAAATAATTTATAAACCGTTTATGACTTGAGTTATTTTTGACAAAATGAAAATCACGTTTTGATACCATAATCGATGAATAACTCTATCGGACGTATATTCTGGATTAAGAATGAGTTATTTCCCTTATACCAGTAAATTACAGTAGTTTATTCGGGTATGTGTGACACATTTTGATCAAATGAAGATTTTAAAGAAAACCTGTAAATAATTATGTCATTTGATGTAAGATTATCTATGAAAAACGCGTAAAATAGCCGGCGGAAATGATAATGTTGAGCTCGAGAAAATGACTTTTTCTCCATTTTCATATATTTTACCGCATAAAAAGAACACATGCACATAAAAGTCGATTTTATAAAATTGCATTTAGGCCTGTATAAGTATTTCTTTCCTGGATCTATGTGAAGAAAATAATTGAAAGCGAATAGAAACAATTAAGCAATCATATTTATAATAACATTTATTTTATATTGCCATCATGTAATATTGGTACAGTGCCTAGCGCCTCGTACAATATAGATATGATAGCTGTGTCGTCGTTCTATATAATGCAGTATTGTACTCAACAATGTATAATAACCTTATACATTTTTGTATTATCAGCACAGCCATAACCAAATGTGAGAGGCAGTTTCTTAGAAGAACAGCGACACAATCGTCAATACTGATTCAAATATCCTTTTTCTTATCTTGAATGCCTGCTACCAAGAATTAAACATAAATGATCTCTTTCTAAGAATATAATAATCACGTGACTCTCAAGATAAATTGCACTGAAATAATTCGTAGAATTGTATAAGAATGACAATTTAACGGATCTTTGAAGCAACGAAAAAAAAATTATATTTGAATGATTTCTTAAATGTTGTATTTTTCTTGTGATTTAAGCAGTTTGGAGAAAATCTAAGATATTATTATATATGAACTGTTTCTTTATAGGAGAAAATAAGAGACGTTTAATATGTATGAACTGTATTTTTAGATATTATTTTTCAATATTGTTATACTAGTACAAATGTACATACAGTAGGGTGAACGTTTCGGTTGTCAAAAATAGCGTTTTTCGTGCGTCCGTTTTTTGTGTAACGTGCGTGCGTATAGCGTGCAACGTGCGTTTGCTGAAACGCTTTCTCAAGCGTGCATCGTTTACAAGCGTTTAACGTTTATCGTTTTTCGTGTATCGTTTTTCGTTTATCGTGCGTCTGAAAGCGTGCGTTTCTTATTCCCAGAAACAATTAGCGTGCGTCTGCGTTCGTCTAAGCGTTTTGCGTCTCTTAACTTACTATTGGGAAGTAAAAGAATATCTTAGATATATTATGTAAATTTCTTGATTCTTACACATGTAAGAGATGTTCTGTGTCCCTGTCAAAGAATAGAAATATTATATAAAGAAGTATTTATATTGTGATATTTACATTAAAGTTTTAAAGTTTGTGACCTCGCGGTGAATACAGGTCAGATTTCTACATGCTTTACGCCTGGGACATATCTTATGTCCCAGTTTACGCCGACGATTAATAAGTTTTAATATCCTATTTTACATACGCATAAGATATAATTACTAATTAATTGCAACATTTTTGATATTCAATTCAGCAAACAGGTGTTTATATGCGTACCAATATATATTAGATATGTAGTTCGTAAGACATCAAATGATGGTAATCAGACTAGCACCCCACCCCCATTACAAGTTCATCTTCTGAATTTTTATCAAAGACTGTCCGAATCCTATCCGAATACTATTTAGGGTGATAATTATTTAGACAGTTCCTTCCTATTTTTCTTGACAGATTTATATTCATTTGTAACAGGCTGGCAGGGACTCGAACCCCTGACACTCGGAATACGATTCCGCGGCTCTTGAGTTCCTCTGAGCTATTCGGCCGCTTACACGTTTTACTTGTTGAAATACTGAATAGTTATAAACCTACTGTGTATGCAAATATTTCCTCGAATTTCCCAGGGTTACTTAGCATTGTGAATTAATTTCTAGCTGGGCTATACAAATGTATGTCAATCACAAGGTGAGAAAAAAAGTGCATCCTGACATAGACTCGAACCCGTGACCCTCTAAATACCGTACCGCAGCTGTACCGACATTTGTCAATAGTTTCATTATTTGTACATGACTATAATGAACATTTTAATAATTAAACATTGTACATTGTACTATTTCTATATTTTTGTACAAATAAAAATAGCTTGATTTTTTTCTAGATAAAATTTAAAATTCTATGATGGCTAAAATATACCATGTTGTACTTTTTAGACATGTAATCACAACAGACAGGCTAAGCCACCCTTTACAAAATTCCCCTATCTGTCAGCTCATAATCAAGGCATAGACTACTATTTTTGTATGTGGCGTGAGCTTTTACTGTTCACTTACAAACCGTATAACACTGATAGCGAACAGATGGGCAGTCTGGTCTGGATCCATGCTGGTCGCAAACCCATTATGTTGGTTTTATCCTGACGCGGCTCAAATATATCTTAATCTTATATGAGGTCCATAATATAACCCACTTTGATAAACATATATAGCTTCCTTGATTTTTTTTCTGTATATTATCTAAAATCACTTTTAAGGTTTATCAATCCGTAATCATTACTTAACATAATACCCCTTTGAGATACCCGAGATGAGCCTGTGTCGCCCTTTTGCTAACTTAAAAGTATATAACCTTTCCATATATAACCATATAATTCTTTGAAGATTTTTCTCAGCTGAGTTAGATAGGTATGCTGTAGTCCAAGTAACTTGTTTAACTTCCCTCAAGTAAGTTATAAACCCCATAACTGATAAAATTCTAACTATAATATACTTAAATATCACCTATGTATTTATATAAATTTACAAAAACCCATTTTGCATACTAATATATCTTTAGTGACCTGTACAATTTCAATTGATTGTAATTTTAATTTCCTTCAATATCAATTTTATGCTTCATAGGTAGGTCAGTTCACAAGATCCCTATGAAAAGTAATGTAATTGATAACTCAATCCAAATAAACTTTATTAATTAAAAGCTTTAATAAGATGACTTTAAAAAGAAGATTTCAATAATTGTCCATGAAAAATATAAATGTTATAGTAAATTCTATGTGGACCCCAACTATTAACGAAAGCAGTGCCACATAAAATGTTGATACACCGGGTTATTTTACCTTAAACTTAACCTCTTAGGAAATGATACAGAATTTTTTTTATATAACATAAATCTATTATATTAATTAACAAACATATCTAATTGACTAGAATAAGGTAGTCCTAACAAATTTCATTACAAAATATGAGAATTATGGCAAATCTCCTAAGATGCCTAAATGTCCAAGAATAATGCACTAAATCACTACAAAATATGAAAATTTTACCTAGTTATAAGAGCCTTGGAAATTAAACAAAGCTATAAGAGGAACATTAATCTATCATATTAATTAACAAACGTATCTAATTGACTAAAGTAAGGAAGTCCCGCCAAATTTCATTACAAAATATAAGAGTTATTGCAAATTTCCTAAGATACCTTACTGTCTTAAGATAGAACACCAAGTCACTACAAAATGGGGATTTTTACCTTATTATAACAGCTTAGGAAATAAAACAGAATTATAAGTGCAACATAAATCTATAATATTAATTAACAAGCATATCTAATTGATTGAAATAAGAATATCTCAATAAATTACATTGAATATTCAAAAAATTATGGCTTATTTCCTATGATGTATAACTTTA